ATCATTATCGTAATAATTTAGATCTTCCTATATTTATGAATGGTAATGTACTAGATGAGTCATCTACCATTCTTCTTCTAGGATTAACTCTTACTTCTGATCTTTCTTTTAAACCCTATATCAAATCCATTGCAAAATTAGCATCTGCTAAGGTTGCATCTCTTTATCGAGCTCGACACTTTCTTACTCCAGATTCTATTCTCTATCTCTATAAATCTCAAATCCGTCCCTGTATGGAATACTGTTGCCACATCTGGGGCGGATCTTCTAATGATGCTCTTTCTCTTTTAGACAAGGTGCAAAAACGAATTGTAAACATAGTTGGACCTGCTCTGGCAGCCAATCTCCAACCTTTGTCACATCGTCGTAATGTTGCTTCTCTTTCTCTTTTCTACAAATACTATAATGGGCACTGCTCTAAAGAGCTAGCGTCCCTTGTGCCATCTACTAAAATTCATTCTCGTGTTACTCGCCATTCAATTAAGTCTCATTCTTTTTCTGTGACTGTTCCTAAGTGCTTCAAAAACTCTTATTCTTCTAGTTTTTTTCCTCGAACATCAGTTCTTTGGAATTCGCTTCCTTCATCTTGCTTTCCTGATTCATATAATTTGCAATCTTTTAAGTCATCAGTCAATCGTTATCTTGCTCTACAGATTTAGTCTTTTCTCTTCCAGTAACTTCCAACTCTTATAGTGGTTGCTTGCAGCCTTGTTGGAAGTGAAGATGTTAAAAAAAAAAAAAAAAAAAAAAATCGTTGGATCTTTTAAAGAATTATTAAAATTTAATATTAAAAATCTATAATTTTTAATATTAAAATTTTTTTTTTTTTTAAATTTTAATTTTAAAAGTTATAGATTTTTAATATTTAAAAATCTATCATTTTTAAATATTTAAAATCTTATTAAAAAAAAAATAAAAGTTATCAAACTCAACTTAAAAACATGTTTCAACAACTTTTATTTTTTTAAATCTAAAGTTCGGTTATTAACCGAATGAGTTTAAAATGTTAAACAAAATAAAGTAATTACTTTTTAATTCATTTTATTGTCCTGATGAAAAAATGAAATAGATGAAATTAACAGAAACTTAGTTATTTACTACTGCATTTGAAACCAAAAAATATTTTCTTGTTCTTAAAAAAGAATAAGAAAAGATTTACTGCTCCAGCACCAATACAGATCTGGGTTCGTCCCTGGTTTTGCTTTCTTTATTTTTGAAACTTAGTTTTTTAATAAAATAAAACTTGCAAATGGCAGTGACCAAATTGTCTAAAATAAAATACTAATGTGTGATCATACAAGATGAAAAACTGCACGTGTTTCCTGGGAAGGCTTGAAATCCATTGGTTTATTATGCTATAATATCTATTATAAATTAATATATAATTTTGCATTATAAGTGAGTTATAATTTTATTTTGTATTTTGAAAACTAAAAGCAGGTTTTTATTGCATCAAATTATTTGAAAGCAAACTTGGATGGTAAAACTGTTTTACAATACCGCTGATGATGTTTAGTGAATGAGCTTTTTAAGATATTTGTATATTTATGTTCTGTATGGACCTCTGGTAAGGTGCTGGTCCACCCGCAACTCACTTTATATAAAAGTATGTTTATGTTTTGTTGGGTCACCTTCCAGCAGGTTGGAAAAGAAGACTCTGATAAGTACTTGTTAAATAGTTTTGAAAGTATAGGCAATAACTCCAGCGAACACTTCTACAAGACTATAATATATATACAAGCTTTAGAAAAGTCTAAGCGGGTAATCACTTTAGGTATAGAAGTTGGAGTGATAAAAATATCAAGCAATTGATCAACCTGTTTGTGAGCTATTCTCGAGTAGGATGTGATTAGTGGAATCAAGAAATAAGATTGATGAAAAGTTCTTAGCAAACAATTCAGTTTTGTTTTTAGGTGAAATAACATAATCTGAACCACTCACAATAGAAATAGAATAACAGCCTTTAATATAGACACTGTTAAAAGTTTACCAGAAGTCTCGGGAGCATAATTTTTGAGGTGAGATTTTGTGACCTGCTAATAGCAGGCTTTGTCATTAGACAAAATTATTTTACAAAGATTTCTAGCAATAGTAAGCAGATGTCTGTTTTCTGGAGACTTGTTTTGGTAATGGATATGAAAGTAATGGTTATGGTTAGAGATTGCAACAGCACGAGGAAAACCATGCAAAAGAGCAAGGTTCAACTTTTAATAAAAGATTTTAACCCAGCCTGAATCAGAGAAATTACATAAGTACTAACTTATAAGCACATTTGTCAGCAGGAAGACAAAAGATTTCTACACAAGAATTTTTAACTAAGGGCCATCACAAAGAGAATCACAGCAAGAGTCTCAGTCAGCTTTAAGGTAGTTGTAAGAGGTACGACAATAAGGGGATTCTAATGATGATGAAGAAGAATAAGATAATAGTTTTATATAGAGATAATAGAATGTGGAGAAACTGATAAATAGAGATATAGAAACTAATAAATAGAGGTAATAGAATAAAATCATGGTAAAAGTTCCAGTCAGCTTTAAGTTAGTTGTAAGAGGTACAATGATAGGAGGATTCTAATGATGTAGAAGAATAAGATAATAGTTTTAGAGAGATCAAACTGTGATCAGAAGCACCTAAATGTGAATGTGAAGAAACTGAGCGCTGACTAGGATTAGAAACAAGATACAAATCCAGTAGAGAAGGTAAATGGAAAGCGAGTTGGAAAGTTGACTATTTGAGTTAGAGAAAGAAAAAGGCAAAAATTGTGGGCCTTAATGCCTGCAGGGTCATTGACACTAGAGCCAAGCCATTCAGTGTGATGAGCATTAAACTTACCAACAACATTGATATTGGCTAAAGGATAAAAGAGAAAGAGCTTGGTCAATTTGATCAGAAATAACATCAAGAGGAGTGCAGTCTTGAGATAAAGAAGAGCGATGTAGAACAATGAGAAAGGTGATAGAGTAAAGGGTGCTACGCGAAAGCACATAAAAGAATAGTCTGTGAATTTAAGTGTAGTTTCCCAACAAATGGGTGAAATTAGCAAAAAGATTAGTCTTACAAAAAGAAAGTAGGCTTGATAAAGTAGGCTTGATAAAGTTTGAAAGAGATAAAACTCAACTAAAGAATTGCTACTTCGTTGCCTAGTCATAAAAACAGAGATACAAGCAAAACCCATGCAATGAGTCAAGATGATCCAGCAATCAATATCCTAAACTGGAAACAATTATTATAAACATATCTACGCTAGCTTAATAGATTAACAATGGGTGCAAAGCTGATCAAAAAATAGAATCTGTTTATCTCTTAAGTCTAGGAGTAACCAGATGTAACGTCTGCCCAAGATAAGTATTTTTATCGAGACATATATCCCACAATTCAGCAGGACATGAAGCAGATTGTTCTCTCTAATCTTGACTTAACCAAGATTCCTAAGGTAAGGGGTGTGTTAAGTTAGATTTAGCTTCTCATATTCTTTGTCTAAAAAAGATATCCTACAAGGGTGCAGGAGGTGAGGTCGGTTGTACTGTATTACATGTTACCAGTTTGTTTTATTAAATTAAATAATTATCAATAAAAATGCAATTGTTGAAATATTGTTGAATTAATGTTGTTTTTTATAAAATCAATTGTACAAACTGTTTCAAAAAACATACATTTTAAATAATAAAAAATCAATATATATTTACATAATTAACTAAACTTTTTATAATTTTAAATAAAACTTATTTAATTTTTAAAAAATCTAGAAATTTCTTCTTATAAACAATCAATAAAAGTAAATTGTCACTTTGTTTAAAAGTGTTCTGCTAATTTAAAATAATTTGATTTCAAAAGATTAAATGTTACAAAATTAATTATTTTAGCGTGTTGTTTCCATTATGTGAGGGAAGCAGGCATACCTGAAGACAAAATGTCCACAAAGCATCTAAAAAGCTGTGGCTAAATTGCGACAACTAAATATTATATTCTTGGTAAAGCTTGTTCATGTTTTAAATGGTTTCATAAATGAGATAAAGTTCTAGTCTTTTTAACAAAATACTTTTTGTTGCAATTTTTCTGTTTGCATTGCCAGAATATTCCTTTTTTTAGGAAAATATTTTATCTACAGATTTTTTAAAGTCATTTTTTAGCTTGAAGTAAAATAATGAACAGTTTTTTTTTTCCTTTTTTAAGCACTCAAAAAGTTTTAAATTTAAAATTACTTTCGTGAAAGCGAAGTATTGATGCAAAATTAAAGATGTTTAGCTATACAGTTAATGCATTACTAATTTGTGCTCTGCTCTTTTTAATTTCCTAATCTGTAATTAGTTTTATTAAAGGGCAAGTTTGCATTACAAAATTTTTTAACTCTCAGCTTTCTGGTATAAATTAATATTTAACGTCGTATGTATAAAAACAACAATAAAAAATAAAGAACTGATTTGAACACTTATATAATTTTTTTCAAATTCAATCTTGAATCAAAGCAGCAATCCATTCTCCAATCGAATCGAATTGATTCGCAGGGCCTTAGTCACAATACATATATATAAATGCACATGAAAAAACAAAATTAAAAAATTAAATATAATATAATAAGAAAAAGAAACAAAGATTTATCTATGACTATTTTTAATTAGCACCCCTTATCATCCATATTTCTTGTCATCCCCACCCCTTGTCATCTACACCACTTGTCATCTACACCCCTTGTCATCCACACCCCTTGTCATCCACACCCCTTGTGACAAAGTTTAAATGACAAATACATAAAATGTGATCATTATTTACAAATATATTAATTTAAGATGAAATAAAAGACATATCCCTAAAGGTTATTTTGGTTTAACACAAAAATAAAAATTTTGGAAAATTTTTTAAAAATTCTTTTTTTCCAAAATTAACAAAATTTAAAGCAGAAATTTTTTTCTGAAAATTTTTTTAATGACCCTTAGTTTTAATAGTTTATATTTAAAGCAAAGTTCTTAGTTTGAATAATAATTTGATAATTTATTGTCAAGGTATTGGTCGAGGTATTTGCATAGCAATGTTAAAAGCTGGAGCACAAGTGTTTGCATTATCAAGAACCCAATCTGATCTGGACAGCCTTCACCAAGAGGTTAAAAATAATTATTCCATTTTATTGATGTAACATAGCTAAAGGGTCTTCCATAAAGTACATACTCAAGTATAAAGGAGAGGGGTCGCCCAAAAATATGTTAATGCATACGAGAGGGAGGAGGTGTTTAAGATCTCTCTTTTAAAACCTTATTCCTATTTTATTAACAAAAGCATTGCATTTTATGAGTTTACAAAATTGATATTCTATTATGTAACAGAGTAATGTTAAATTAAGTAAAAGTTTCTGTTGTTTTCAATACTTTAAAAAGTTTTATTGGGAAAGAAAGTAAGTTGATTTTATATTAAATAATGCATACGTACACAGAATAGAGGGGCCATTAATAGCATACAGATACCTACAGAGAATCAGAGTCCTAAATCAGTGTTTTTACAACAATCTACTTTATGGATACTCCCTAAATAACTAGTTATTTGAAAGATACAGTATATTTAAAAATAAAAAACTATTTAGAGTTAACATGAGAAGTATAACTTGATTTATACTTCTCATGTTAACTCTAATATTGATTTATATATATATATATATATATATATATATATATATATATATATAATATATATATATATATATATATATATATATATATATATATATATATATATATATATATATATATATATATATATATATACTCTTGCATGTCTCTTGCGTAGCATCAAAAAATATTTTCCATAAACTGTAGTTTTAAAGAGCGCGTTAATAAACCAGACCAGAAAAAGTTTTAAAAATTAAATTTTTTTTTTTAATTGATAGACTGCCTGGCCAAACCAAACCCTCAGTCGATGTAGCAGCACTCTCTTGCGAGTCAGGCTATTTGTCAGTCGATGTAGCAGCACTCCGTTGCGAGTTAGGCTATTTGTCAGTCGATGTAGCAGCACTCCGTTGCGAGTCAGGCTATTTGTCAGTCGATGTAGCAGCACTCCGTTGCGAATCAGGCTATAAGATAGTTGATGTAGCAACATTTACGCATGTTTAAAAAATGTTTTTTATTAAATCAATAACAAAAACACCACTAATTAAAAAAAACTTTCTAGTCGTTATAATTGCGGTTTTTTAAAAATTTTTTAAAAAGCAATTAAATTTAATGTACTTCCGCATAAATTAATTGCTTTGACATTTCGATGACAATCAAAAACAGCTTAAGAGACGAGGTAATTAAAATTGTAGTCGTAAGAGACTTTTTTTACATTAAAACGCTCTTTCGACTACACTATAAGGGTATATATATATATATATATATATATATATATATATATATATATCAGGCTTTTCCAGGAAAGGCGTGCGGTTGCACGCCTTGTTTGTCCACGCATAGAATAAATTTTTCTGACTAAATGACCATGTTTTATTATTATGCGTTTCAAGAATTCGCCTCAAAACAAAGCTTAACGAAAATACCGCAAAAATGCAAGCAATCTTAAAGTAAATAACAGAAATCTGTTTGTGCTTTAAAATTTAAAAATTAATGTATATTATTAAAAAAAAATTTACCTATATTTTATATTTTTATTTTTTTAGGGTGGTAGTTATTTAAGCTATGAAAAATCAAATCAATAAGAAAAATCAAATCAAAAAGAAAAAAATTAATGTTTAAAGAAAATAAAAGGACCTTTTAATGTAAAATTTGTTTATGACTTTTATAAGTCAGTAATACTTTAAAATTCACGCTAGAACTATAAACAATTTTTAAATGTTTCGTAAATACATTTAAATGTTTAAATGTATTGATTTTAATGTTTGAATGTATTGATACGCAAGAAAACACGAAAACGATTGCTATTTATTAGTAAAATATGTTTTGTTTTTTTTTAATGAAAGAAAATTTTATTGTCAAATGATTGAGTTGCTTATTTTGCACATTAATTGACATTGTGAACGAGTGTTAATATATAATAATGTCCCGAAGGAACTGTTTTGGTAACAATAACAGCAGAAGCAATGCAATTATTTTTTTAACTTCTTTCTTAATTACAAAATTATGCAATTGAATAATTTCAATGTAATAAAAGGCAAGCATTGACTCAGTATAATCAGTTTTGAATAAGTCGAGAAAGAACTTTTTTCACATTAAAATTTTGTTATGTTTAAAATCTCAAATAATATATTTAATAATTAAAACAGCAATTTATTTTCTTGTCTAAGTATTGGGGAATAAAGTCATTGCCTTTGCATAAACCTTCGTAAAAACTAAATTAAATGAAAAAGTTTAACCAAATTTGTCTAGCGTAAATAATGAATCAGTTTTCTAATACATTGTCTGATAAAGTTCGTGAATAAATTACGTATCAAGTCTTTTTATTTTCGTGAAAACTTTATGACTTATCGTCGTCTTTAACTTGACTTGTATCAAATTTCGTAGCTGAAAATAGCAACCCTAATAAAAGAAAACAAAAACAGTATAAAAATTTTGAAAAAAATGTTCAAGACTTTTTTTTTTTTTTGAAACAAGAATTTTTTTTTTTTAATTTTTTTTTATTATCAAAATATTTTTCTTACATCCAATTTCAATTTTATACTTGGTTTAGACTTCGTTTCATTTTTTAATATTATTTTTTATTTTCTGTGGATAATTTCCGCTTTCTTACAAAATAATGCCGCGGTCACGTTTTCTTAAAAATTTATTCTATGCGTGGACAAACAAGGCGTGCGACCGCACGCCTTTCCTGGGAAAGCCTGATTTATATATATATATATATATATATATATATATATATATATATATATATATATATATATATATATATATATATAGTAGGGTGTCCTAAAACTTTTGAAAAATATATTGCCACCCTCTCAATATGTATATGATAAAAAAACAAACATGATTTAAACAATTTTTGAATAAAAAATATTTTTAGGGGTCCCCCAAAACCCTTGATCATTTAATCAGTTCCTAATATTATTAGAAAAAAAATTCTATAAAAGTGTATAATTTTAGGTCTCAAATGAAGCGTAATCATATGAAAATTTCAAAAATGATAATTATATTATAAAAAACTCTATACAGGATAAAACCAAGGGTGATATCTCATGGTTTTACCAAGGATAAAACCATGAGATATCTCAGTTACTGGAAATGAAATGTGTAGATGATTTCAATACTACGACTAAAAAGAAATAATTTAATAATCTAAACAAAAATTTCCAGTAGAGAAGACCAGCATGCCAAACTTTGTCAAAATGAGTTGATATATCAAGAGCATTATTTCTTGCCTCTAAAATGCACTATACAATCAGACCTTAGAAGCAGAAATTTAGTTAGATTGTTAGAAATAGAATGAGAAGATTGAAGTAGAGTTGTTAGACTAGATATGATGTGAGAAATTTGTTGATTAGGGATTCAAGGAGTTTGCTGGTTGTGGAGAAGGGACTGAGTGAGAAGGAGAAGGGACTGAGTGAGAAGGAGAAGGGACTGTGTCAGAGTCCAGATTTCTCCAGATTTTCTAAAAATGGGAACCACAAATGTCTTTTTTTAGCAGGCAAGAAAACAAAAAGGCATTTGTTCTCAAGATAGTTTTTTTTTGTGACATAAGCCCAAATACTGTCACAATGAAAGTCACAAAAAGTAGCTCAATAACAAAAGAAATTTACAACAAAAAAATCCAGTCATTTTTTGGATAATACTGTATCAGATGAGTAGGGTGTGTCCAAAGAAGAAGTATGAGGTAAAAGATCTAAGAGATCGTTACATAGTCAGGACTAAAACAAAAACAAGAAGAAACTAAAAGGATAACAGGAAGAAATACACAGGTTAGTGTCAGAGACAAGATACAAATCAGTGAAGGTGAGTGATTAGTGGTATCTTGTAAACGAGTAACAAAGGTAACTGAGTAAGAGATTAAGAAATATAAAAATTAAAAGCTTTTTTTCCAGCAGGGTCAGTTGTGTTAGTCATTCATGCAATTTAATTCTATTTTTATGTTTTTTTAACAATAAGGAACCTGTCACATCAATAACAGCTAACAAGTAACTTTTTTTACTAACTACCAGAGAAGATAATTTGATGAGCGTCACATTTACCACAAAAAATGAATGTGGTTACAATAATTATATTATTAAAATTTAAATAACTATCAAGATGAAATCTTTACAAACAATCTTTATGAATAAAATATTCAAATAAATCCTTTCATAATAATTATTATTTTAAAAATAAAACACTTATTGTGATGCAAATAATTAAATAAATAAATTTTAAAATTAATTAAGTGAATAAGTATTAAAGTTAATTAAATAAGTTATAAACTTAATAAGTAAATATGTATTGAATTTATTTAATTAAATAAGTATTAAAATTCAAAGTAAAAAAGTATTAAGCCATAGACTATATACCTGACCAGATTATACTTAAAGTAATAAATAAAAATAAAGACTATATACAATTTAAATACAGTTTATTAGTAGCTAATAAACTTTATCTTTAAATTGTATATAGTCTTTATTTTTATTTATTACTTTTTTATTTTTTTAACATCTTCACTTCCAACAATTGTTATTGGAAGAGAAAAGATGAAGTTTATAAAGCAAGACAAGAGTTGAATTAAGTGATCACGATTTGCAAAATCTGGAAAAATATTTGGTTATCAAAATTTTAGTTTATGCAAAGCCATGTACTTTATTTTCAAGGAGCAAATTATTATTACTTTGTTAGCAAAAAAGTTATAAAAAACAAAACAATAGACTTACGACTACAAAAATAAAAACACTCTAGTCACTCATTCCATTATAAAAGTAATAAAACTATAATAGTGTTTTTACTTTTATAAAGCACTTATTACTTTTAAAGTTCATTCTTTGTTCAAACAGCATTAGTAATTCCAAACTTTTATTAAAGTAGAAAAGCATCTAGAAAAAATAAAGTGGATATTCAAATGTTATTAAAAACTTTAGGAACTTTAACAAATACACTTAAACAACTTTATAAAAACCTACTTTATAAAAAGTTAAGCATTATGAAAAATGTTACTAAAAGTCCGTAAAAATGCACGTTAATTTTAAAATCAACCAATAAAAAATATTTATTGATTGGTTTTAAATTAAATAGAAGACAAAGGGTAGATGATTTATTGATTACCTTACCTTTATTGCGTTATTAAGGGTAGATGACTTATTCAAGTACATTACCATTCTTAGATGTATAGAATAAATAGAATTATAGAAAAATTCCTAGAAGAAGAAGAGTAATTGACTTATCAAGTACATTACCATTCATAAATATAGGAAGATCTAGATTCTTGCGATAACGATTAGCTGAAAAAAATTGAGTTTTATCTGAGTTAGAGTTCACCAGCCACTGAGAGCCCCATGCTGTAGCAGAAGTGAGTTCCTTTTCAAGCCAAATACCCCTTTTTCAAATGCCCCTCCAAGCAATCATAAAGTGTTGGTTTCTTATCAAAATAGGAATAAATGATAGTATCATCAGCGAACAATTCCACCTTAGAAGTGAGAATATTGGGAAGATCATTAATGTAAATTAAAAAGAGTATAGGGCCCAAAAAAGAACCTTAAAGAACCCCTGAAGTTACAGAAAATAAAGAAGAGTGCTGTCCATCGAGGACAACTTTTTTTCTACTACTGGTATGGAAGGATTCAATAATTTTAAAGATGTTACCTAATACACCATAAGAAGAGAGCTTATGGAGAAGACCAGCATGCCAAACTCAATCAAAGACTTTAGAAATGTTAAGAGCGCTAGCCTTAGCCTTTCTACATCTTTCTAATGTACAATAAAACCTATCAATTGTTATCATTAATAAATCAGCAATAGGATGAGAAGATCAAAATCCATATTGATGATCAGAAAGTTAGTTATTAGATTCAAGATGAGAGATTAAGTGTTTGTTAATCAAAAACTCAAAAACCTTGCTTATGATAGGAAAAAAACTAATGGGACAGTAGTTAGACAAGAAGGATCGCTCTCCAGAATATTTGAAAATAGAGATAACAGATGCTTTATCAAAGTCTTGTTTTCCAAAACTCTGATAAGCACTTGTTAAATAATTTTCAAAAAATAGATGACAGCTCCGGAGAACACTTCTGCAAGACTGTAACAGCTATGTTGTCCAGACTACAAGCTGAGAGAAGAGTCTAAGCAGGAAATCACATTAATACAGAAGCTGGAATGATACAAATGTCAAGCAATGGATCAACATGTTTTTCGGCTATATCAGGTAAAATGTGATTAGTGGAATCAAGAGGTAAGATTGATGAAAAGTTCGTAGCCAACAATTCAGCTTGTCTTTAAGTTAGGTAACAAAATCAGAACCATGCAAGAAAGATGGAATAACAGTGTAGTAAGCCTATTACTATTATTATTTTTGTATTTGTTTAGGTGTCTTAGAAGTCCTTACATTCTTATCGCAGTGCATCACAGAAGAGTATTTAAATAGGAAGTTCAAGCCTCCTTACCAATTCCACTTATTGATTTAGAGCTGGCGTCAATTATTTGACCTCTTGGTTCTGCGCTGAAACTCCAACCACTGCACCACGGCTGCACAAGTTATTAAAAATGTTTTCTTAAAAAATATATTTAAAAAAATATTAACTTGTGATTAAGCTAACAAAATATTATCATGTTACATATAATTATTTTAAGAATAAAAAGTTATTTATAAATTATTGTTTTATTTATAAAAAAGAAATATAATTTGTTTTAAATACCAAATTTAGATTATGAAATTAAATTTAATAAAAATGTTTTATTTTAAAAAATGTTTATAATTTAAATATAACGGTTCAAAAATGTAACCTGAGTTGAATTACATTTGCATGCATTACGCTTTTCCATTGCTCCATGAAATCTTATACCAATTAGCTGTCTGCTTCAGGAAATCATGAAGATTGGATAGAATTTCAAATCACCTATGTTTACAGAAAAAACTTAACATTGTATAAAAAAATTTCTTTGTATAAAAGAAATCATGAAGATTGGATAGAATTTCAAATCACCTATGTTTACAGAAAAAACTTAACATTGTATAAAAAAATTTCTTTGTATCATCATATTAGACATGATTAGATAATATATAAAATTTAAACATTATTAAACTGTTCTATTACACACACCTTTACTTTTGAGTACCAAATATAGTATTGTGTGTATAAAAATAACAAAAGATTGAAATTGGTTCAAAATTAAAGTTATGACATCTTATATCTTATATATTTTTATTTCCTTAATTGACAGATCATGGAGATCATGGATTCTGATATTCTCACATATAATTAAGTTGAAATATTGCAGGTCTTACTATTCTTATAATTGATTGTTGCTTAGAACATTGATTAAGATAGTTGAGGCTTGATAGTTAATTGCATTACAAAACAAGGGTGCATCTTGTTTAGCCCCTAAAATTTCTGTCCTATATATTTACAAATTTGGAACAGTTCATCAAAAACTTTCTTTTGGATTTAAACTAGGAGATTGTGCTGGCCAAAACATAACTGGTATCAATTTCAATTCCAGATATCTTTTATTCAACTGTGCTTTATGTTTGGGATCGTTATCTTGTAGTCATTATTAGGGAAGATGTAGTCATTTATTCATTATAAGATAATTCATTCATTATAAGATGTAGTCATTATTAGGGAAAATTTCTTCTACACTTGGTAAACTAAGATTTTTCCCAACTTGATAAACTAAGATAAACTAGATAAACTAAGATAAACTAAAAAAGGACCAGCATTTGTATCACTTTTGTGACACAAATGCTGGTCCATGGTACCCTCTACCCAGTAATGTTTTCCAATAACAAAATGTGCACTTTTTTTGAAGTTTTAGGCTTCCTTTCAAATCCAACAGACCTTACAGTTGTATCAATGTGTTTATATTTCTTCACCAATTTACTAATAGTTGAGTTTTGTTGTTAAAAAAGTTTTCCAAGAGTTCTGTGAGACTCATTACCACATCCAGTTTTTTTTTAGTTTTGCTTTCTTATACAATATATACTTAAAATCAAGAATCTTTTTTAAATTTATCTCTCATGTCGAATTTTCAAATATATTACAATACTTTTTTTTAACAATTATTTACACAAGCCACTTTTATTTATAAAGTGTTTATAGTTTGTTTTTCTTTTTTTTCCTGGTGCTTACACTTAAAGGAAATTCAAAAATATTTTATTTAATATTCAACTGGTAATTCAAAAAAATCTATCAAATCAAAATCAAAAAGTGTGACTGCGAGCAAATTATCTTAAAAATCAAATTGTGTCATTGATAATTTTTAATTTTGACTTTTTAGTACTCTGAAGTTGTTACTATATGTGTAGACTTGGATGATATGGAAAAAGTAAAAGAAAAACTTAAAATTATCCCAGACGACATTACCTTACTTGTCAATAATGCTGGTGTTGCAAAACTTCAACATTTTTTAGACATCACAGAGGAAGCCTATGATAGGTTGGTTTTATTTTTTTGTAAATAAAATATTTTTTAATTGATACTGTTGTTATGCATTGTTTAATGCTTTTTTTATAAATGTGATGTTTATAAATGTGATTATAGAGGTGTGTGTGTAAAATTAAATATAGCCAAATGTAATCTTTTTGAGCATAAATAGCAAGGCATTTTATTTCCTAGAAACACATTTTTGTTTTTTGCAAAGCAAAATAAAACTAAAGTTCTCAGTAAAAAATACTTTGATTTTTAGATTAAATGTTAAATCAAAAATGTTGAATAACAATGAATAAAGAAAGATTTTATCAAAAAATGTCTTTTTCATTTAGTTAATTGTTTTGAAATAATTTTTAAAACATGCAATAAAAATTAAACAACATTAAATTAAAATTATATAAAGATTAAATAATGGTTCTTAAACTTTTTAGCAGCATCATCTTGAATTGGAACATTGTATAATACAATGTATATATAAAATAGCAAAAAATGAGTGGTAAATCATGATTTTCAATATTTTTGTAGAAAAAAAAAGACTTAAGTAATATTAAAGTCTTTTTGGTAAAGCACTTTGCATTTTACATTAGCAATTTTCTACTTTCTTTTGCTATTTAACAATCTTATCATTATCTCACTCTAAAAACTTTTTAGAGTTTTTAGAGTGAGATAATGATAAGATTGTTGAGATAATGATAAGATTAAATTTTTTTACAAAAAAATTTTGTTTTTGTAATATTAAAATCGGTCTGAGGATATATTTCAAGCAGTTTGTTAAATGAGGTAATTAACATTGTTAAATGAGGTTAACATGTTAAATGAGGTAATTAACAAACTCGTATTTGTGGATACTTTTCATAGCGATATCAAGAAAATGGTTCATGTGAAAATGGTTCATAGTGGTCATCAAAGTGGTAGTAAGCAAAGTAGTATGCAAAAAAAAAAAATAATGTTTACTGAAAAATATAATAATGGTATCAGCTGTATAGGGACCATTTTTATTGGAAAATATAAATGCTCTTGAAGCTATTCGAAATTGGTCATCAGTATCAAATCTTTTGCAAATTGATGGCATTGTTAAACAAATAGAAGTTGTTTGTATTACATGAATCTTATTTAGTATTACATGACTCACCACAATATATGTAAAGTCAAATGGATTTAATCATCATTACTGGGTCCTGAATTTGTGCAAACTGAACCAGTTGATGGTCTTTAGGCTTTTTGTCACTTCAATCAGGTATCAGGAGTTGTTAAATGTGTAGCTTGCAAAACATTTTTTATATATCTGTGTGGCATTTTTTATATATCTGCTAAGCCTTTCCTTTTCGTACACGCCATTTTATTATTCCTGGTTCCATTCTCTACTTCTACAAATCTCGTATTTGTCCCTGTATGGAATACTGTTGTCATATTTCACTGGTTTTTATATGTTATGTTATGATACCCTCTCTCTTCTAGACAATGTTTGTCATGTATTGTAATTGTAGTTGGACTTGCCCTATCTGCCAAGCTTGTGTCACTGTCAATCGTTGTACTGTACAATCACTGTACAATCATTGTAAAGTTGTATCTTTTTCTCTTTCTACAAATACTATTATTGTTGCTGCTCAATCAAGCTATCATCTGTGGTTCAATCAACCAAAACTCATTTTCATTTGACTAATTATTCCGCAAAGTTACATTATTTTACTCCATCATATATAAAAATATAATATAAAAACTCCATCATATATAAAAAAATATAATATAAAAACTCATAATATAAAAACTTATATTCATCTAATTTCTTTCCTTGCATATTAATGGTATTAAACATAGGATTAATCATGTGAAGCAAAATAATAGATGTAATCAATGTGAAGCAAAATAATAGATCTTCGTGTTTCATCTTTATGTTTCCATTTTTATGTTTTCCTAACTCATAAAATATAATTTTTTTTTTTAAAGTTTTTTTTTGCAACCTTTTTTCTCAAACTCTCACATTGTTCTCAAGAATTCAAACTCAAATATTACAATTCACGGGATAATCATGTTAATATTAATGAATAAAAAAAATATATAATGATAAATATAAATTGCACATCAATTAACCAGGGATTATCTTTTTTCCTTATATATCAGAAATTCCTGATATTTTTTTAACATTTAGTTTTTCTAGATTTCTAAAAAGGTTTCCATAAATGCAAATTTTAAATAAATATTTTTGCAATATATGTTTTTAAACTTTTTAAGTCACTACCCATAAAAATAAAAAAAATAAAAAAAAAATTCCAGATTTTTTTTTTTTAATACATTCTGGGTTTTTTAAATATGACATGTTTACTTAACAATTTACTTTACATTGATGTTATATTTATTATACCTATACTTTTAAATTTTACTAATTTAGTTATTAAAAGGCCTAGTTCAAAAAGTCATAGTTCATTATTTTGAGAAAACCAAGCTTGATGACATGGCAATATTGAAATGAAATAAGCGATTTTTTTTTTAAATCATTCTTTACTTCAAAGAAAGCTGATTTTTTCATACTTCAAATTTCATTGTCTTCAAATTGAGTTTCAAAAAGAGTTTTTAATTTACTTTTTTAAAGTTTCATTTATTAATTGATAGTTTTACACAGATGTTTTAAGATGGACATATAACTTTTCAAATATTGATATATTAACAATAGATAACAAATATTTGAAATGATTTTGTTCTGTAAAAAGATTAAAAACATTCTGATAAAAAGCATTCTGTAAAAAGATTAAAAATTTGTCAGCTTTTTACTAGAATTGTTTGACTTTCCGAGAAATTTTTTGAATAATCCATTTTTTTATAATGAAAGATAAATAGTTTTAAGTATACAATTTATGTGACATAAAAAAAGTTTAGTTTTAATGAGTTTCCAACTTTCCGGGAAGTGGAAATAAATTAAATTCAATCAATTTCCAATTTCCAGACAGTGAAAAGTATATAAAAACTAATCACTTTCTTTATGTTTTTACACGGTAATAAAATTATAGTTTTACTATTAATTAAATTTGACCTTACTTCCCTACATTTTCCAATCACTTTCCATTGGAAAGTCATTAAAAAAATATATTTTATCCTTATCTATTTTGTTAATTTTCGACCACCCGGACTTAATGTCCCAGTTTATTAATTCCAAAGAAAGAAAAGTTTTAATGATTTGAATTGATCAGACTAATGACTTGATGATAATAGACTAATAATAATAGACTAATAATAATGACTTGATTATGCGACGATACATAAGTATCTATTATACTTATAGCTAAACTATTTGCGTACCTAAAGCTAAAAATGGTTTATTATTAATTTTAAAAAATAAATATATTTATTACCATTGATAAGTTAATTCTTTTTTTTTAACTATATCATTAAATAGAATTTAATTATTTATTTAATACCATTGATGAGTTATTTTTTTTTTTTTTAGAATTTAATATTTTATTTAGTTTTAAAGAGTTCTTATTTAAACACCAAAAAATTTAAAAATAAACAAAGGCTGGTATTTTGAAAATACAAGAATTCAAATAAATATACTTTAGATGCAAAACGAACTGCGATTTCACTTTCTATAACTTACTAGAGTAATATAATAAAATAATAAAAGCTTAGCTAAACCATAGTCAATAGAAGTTAACCCAGGATAACTTCTATTGACTAAGGTTATCCCTGGACAACTTCTATTGATTAAAGTTATCCCGGGATAACTTCTATTGACTATGCTTCAATTGGTAAATTTTTTTGGTAAATTTTTATGGTAAAAATTGGTAAAAAATTAGTTAATAAGACCATTTTGTCAAAATATTCTATTTCTCAACAAGGGATATTGACTATGATATAATCAACTATTTGTAAAAAAGAAATCTTGTTAAATAAAGAAAATTTAAAAAAAAAAGATTGTTTAAATTTTTTTTTTTACTTTCCAATTGAAAGTGATTGGAAAGTGTTGGGAAGTCAAATTTAATTAATATTATTACTATAAATTTAATGTCTGTAAAAATCTAACGAAAGTGATTAATTTTTAAAGTCATTTTTCCATTTTCTGGAAACAATAATGTATAATATAATAAACATTTTCCAATATAAATACATTTAATTTACGAACACTTTCCAAAACAAAGGAGACACTTTCCGAAACTAATTATAAAGCATCAGTAATAAAATACTTATGATAGTACATAAATTATTTTTTTAATTTTAATATGCAGGTTAAAATTTTAAAAACTTATGTCATCTATCAAAAAAATTATGTTTTGCATTTGAAAATTATAAATTTAACAATATAAATACATTAAAAACGGACTTTTGAACACTTATGGATCAGTGTTCTAAATTTCAATCATCAAGCATAGAGATAAGTTAGGCAATCTTAATTGGTTCATATCAGGTTTTCCATAAAAATTCAAAAATAAAACTCAAATCATTAGAAATATCATAACAAAATTTTGTTTTATTCTGTTTATTGTAAATATTTATTTACAAAAGAAACAAATCTTTTATAATTTTTTTAAGCAAAATGAAAGCGTTAATAAAAAAAAAAAAAAATTTTTATGCGGAAAAAGTTTTTTTTTTAAATAAACTTGTGATGTCTGTATTTAAACTAGTTATGGCCTATAATTATTTTTAATCTATTGTACTTTCTTGAAAGTACAATAGATTAAAAATAAATAAACTGGCCAAAATAAACAGAAAATTAATTATGTATGAAGTAATGTCTTTTCTTTTATGATACTTTCAAAGAGAAAGTAGTAAATAGTTTTATGCGCATATATTGTTCCAATAGTACCAAAGCATGTCTGGGTTCTTTCCTGATAGTGGAATTGTTGTAATCTAAAAATTTGTGAAGATTTGTCTATGTACTTGTTTATACAAAGGTTTAGTTTTTACACAAATCTAATAATATTATTTTAAATTATTTATAGTTATGTTCAGCATTTAAAATGAAGTATATAAAAATAACTTTATTATATTTTCAGTATTATGAACATCAATTTGAAGTCTATGGTGTTCATTTCACAGGTGAATGTTTTGTATGTGATATATATATATATATATATATATATATATATATATATATATATATATATATATATATATATATATATATATATATATATATATATATATATAAACACATATATATACATTAAGGCTGTCCAAAAAAAATTTTTTTTTCAGATTTGATTGCATAGTTATTTATTTTGTGCCATTTGACATATTAATTAACTGTGCAAAAAATCTTTCCGATCAGATAATGTTTAGGGGGTGCTCAATGACCATAAAGTTTTATGAAAAATGTGAAAAACATGGAAAAAGTAACAAAGTTCCACAAATTTCTAAAACCCGGAAAATAAGTTTTTCAGATTTGATCAGTTTTAATTATCTCTAAATATTAAATTCTGAATACAAATTACAATCCACATCCACTTTATACTGGTTTATTAGCAGAGAAATTAATGAAATAAAATACTGCAATACGACTAAAGTTCTGCGGTTTTTGTTATATCAGAATTTTTCCAAAATAAAACACTAAGATTTTTGACTCTTTGTCATTGATTAAAATACGAATTATAAACAAAAAAAATTATTGTAAAGGAGTAACAGTTTCTCAAACCGTTATCAACTGCTAAGTAGGTCAACTCAAAAACATATGAGCAATTAACATTTAATTATCGTAATGTTATAGTTCGTGCAATGTTAATGCTAGCGAGGACTATAACTCTTCAGAGTACACTTTCTGGCATCTGGCACTCGCTTTCTGTGATCCTCAACCACCTGAATTAACCTCTGCATTTCAGATTCATTCCTTGTAATCGATTCATTAAACATCGACATTAAAGCCACAGATCGTTCGGCAGCATCATTTACTACTTTCAATGAATATACTAAATTTTTTCCTTCTTGGTATTCTGGGGAATCATTCCAGGTAGCTGGATTGTTGTTGAACAGAAAATCAATATCAACCTTCATTGACCGCAACGCACTTGCTGAAACTGATGTCACCAGCATGTCCAGAGATTTCTTCTCTAGACTTTCAATGTTCTTTAATTTGATCAACCTTTCAGACCAGTTCTCACCGTGAAATTTCATGTTGGAAATCATTTTTCGCTTCTCTTCCGTTTTAAGTTTGTTTGAAAACAAAGCTAGTGGGACCAATTCTGGTGAAAGGTACCACAAATAGTTTTGAAATTTCTTGACTGCTGCTTCGGAAATCGTTTTATTCACAACTGCAAACTGCTTAAGTTGCTGAAACTGAAACAAGTCATTAACTGGAGCATCACTGGCATTTGGGCATGATATCCAAGATTTTACATAAACCAGACTAGCAAATAAGCAAAATTCACGGAGATTTTTTTCCTCTTTTGTGGTCAACTTGAACTCTTCACGAAATAAATAAATCTTAAAACAATAAATAACTATGGCCATCCAGCGAGCCATGTGATAAGCACTAGGGATCTTGAAATGATAATTTTTCTCTTCTTGATCAGGCAGTTTTCCAAGTATTAACAGACAGAGATCCATGATTTCTTTGTAGTCATCCCTTGGCATTTTAACATGCAGGTTTTCTTTGAGAAATGCCATCACTTCACTTTGTAGTTCTTGCACCAGGGGTATTTTCATTCGAATGTCATCCAGAGGTTTAAAATTTCCTTGATTAACTTTGGGCCAATATTGCTGAAATCTCTGGAAAAGAGGTATGTTGGGACCAGATGATAGTCCAAATAGTGATTCAAACACTCCTGCTACTATGATCTCATGAACATGGTGTCTGCAAGCAAAATATAACAAATTTCTACCTATATGTTTCTCTAGAACTACACATGCACCATTTTCGGAGCCAGTGTTAGAGGCTGTAGTATCAAAACTCATTCCAATAACATCACCAATTATGTCCCAGAAATTAGGCAGATGAATAACTGGTTTTGCTTGGGCTTCTCCAGTTCCAGCTGATAGTTTTGCTATTCCAAGTATTTTGTCAACATTGTGACCTGTCACACTTACTGATAGCCGGTCAACATTTGCTTTAGGGTCTGCAGAATTTGTACGATCTATCATCAGTTTGCCATCCCAGTGGACGATTAATGGTGGTTTGTCCAAATCGCAGAATTCAGTTTGAACAGTGGCTTCAATGTTTGATCGATGATAGGTTCGTTTTCTACGGACTGTAGAACGTGACAATGATCCATCATCGAGGTTCTGTCCACCAGCCCTTGCAATTGCTGCTGCTAGTATAGTAAATTTTGTGTCAGATAGATTAATTCTGTCTAATGTTGATGAAACATCAGGTGAGTCAAGAATTGTATCTAAGATACATTATCGTTTTGGAGTACTTGCTAAACTTGATTCAGCTGACCCTGAAGAACTTGCTTTACTGACTTGTTGTCTGTAATAAACAGGGATTTCTATCTCAAAATCTCTATCAACCATTTTGTCATTATCAACAGCATCGTTATCGTTGTCATCACTATAACTTTCGTCATGTAAAGGTTCAATAACAGGAACTATTGTTTCTGTTATTGAACCTTTACATTCGCAACTCGCACCAGATTGTCTTTGCTCTTCTTTTAGCTTTCGTTCTCTCTCTGCTTGTTTCCTTGCTTCATTTCTTGCTTCTAATTTTGAAAGTTCTTTGTCCTCTCCAAACATCACCATTTTTCTCTGACATCTCTGATCCAATAAAAATTCTTTATCTTCTTCAATTCTGATCATGGTTTCAGCATCCTTGTGGGCAATGTCAAAAAGTAGGCCAATGGTGTCTGTAAATGATTTCTCTCTTGATTTCTGAGAATCTGACAATCTGGATTTTTTTTTTTTTTATTAATTTAAATTCCTGGACTAAAGTTTTCAACTTTAAGACTACATTTGGATGAAATGCTGTCGGAATACGGGCTTTATTCCAAATAATAATCAGTTCATCAACAGTTGTTTTAAGACTTTTAGGCACTGACTTTTTGGTTGAATTAAAATGATAAAAAAATGTTTTTAAAACATCAGATGTTAAGGGAAGAACTTTATCTGGAAGATTTGGCTCTGGTTGTCCAATTAAAAAGATTTCGGTTTGAAGTCGTGTAGAGATAGCAACACGAGATGATGCTGCCATTTCAATGATAACTGAAAAATTATGAGAAAATTAAAACTCAATACCATATTATACAAACTTATCATTCAGTTGTTGGTTTATGCAGCTGCAGCAATATATAATAATAATTATTACTAAAGAAATTAAATAAATATTTTCAAATTAGAAATTATTATTATCTGCACTTAATAACAAGACTACCATGCTAGTTTTCTGTAATAGGTTACTAAGGTTAGGTACTATCAAAATATTAATACATTTGTTGTCAAACTGAAATTCCAAATAAAAATAATATTTATACTTGTAAACCTTTTTATTCTGTTTGAACAAATTCTAATTTGAGTTAAGTAATAGTATTAAAATTATGAATACAAATTTTAACAAAATGATATAAACAGAGTTGTTTTAAACACTAACAGATATTTTTTAGTCTGGTGCCCTGATGACAGTTAATCTTCTGCACTTTAATTAATCTATATAGCACGCAATCAGACAATATTTCAGTGGAAAAAATTAACTAACCAGGTTCTAGAAATTTTTGGAACTTTGGAACTTTTTCCACGTTTTTGACGTTTTTCGTAAAACTTTATGGTCATTGAGCACCCCCTAAACATTATCTGATTGGAAAGATTTTTTACACAGTCAATTACTATGTCAAATGGCACAAAATAAACAACTATGCATTCAAATCCGAGAAAAAATTTTTTTTTCCTGTGTTCACATGAACAGCCCTAATATACATATGTATGATTTAAGATATTCTCCAGAGTTTGTTTTATGGTTTTTCAGTTTCATTTTTGTATTAAATAATTTTGTTACAATAATGTTATAATAAATAATTTTTTATTATTTCTAATATTTTCTGTAAATTAAAGTTTTTTTTAGTTTATAGCGAAGAAAATGATTAGTTATGGTAAAGGTGGAAAGATTGTAAATGTTTCAAGTCAAAGTTCACTTACTGCTCTTCCGCTACATACAGTTTACTGTTAGTTATATTTCATAATATTTATTGTAATTTTTTTTCTCTTTTATACTGTTACTGTTATAACTGTAAGTTTTATTTCATTTCTTAGTATTTTATGTTTACAGTTTTTTATAACATTTTACTCTGTTTGCTCTTTTGCTCTGTTTATCTATATGTATATTTAATAATATACATATATAATACATTTATTTATTTGTAGGCGTTTCAAAAGCTGGTGTTGACCATCTGACAAGGTGTATGGCTCTTGAACTAGGTCCTCATCATGTAAGAAGCTGCCATTTTGTAGTAACTTTGAGTAAATAAATACACTCTTATTTTTATGGTTGTTCAAATTTGTTGTTCAATACTGTTGCATGAGATTCCAAACTTGTTACAAATTGATTGCATTAGTATTCTAAAATTTATATCTATTTTGTGTTAAAAGAATTTAATAAATAAATTTCAAATAAGAATATTATTAGAAAGCAAATATTTTAATATTATATGAGTAATATTACAGGTTTAATTATGAAACATGAATAACTTAAACAACATTTAGTTTATTAACATTAACAATAACAGCAGTATTTTTTTAATAATTCAATATTGAAAACTCATAAAAAATTTAACAGTTTTAAATGTTTTAGTTAAACCATTATAATTCTGAAAACTCAATTTTTTTAAAATCTGATTCACTCTCAACAAGGCTGCAAGCAACCACTATTAAGCTGGGAGTTATAAGGAAAAAAAATTGAGTTATAGAGCAAGGAAATGGTTGGTAAAAGACTCGAAAAATTCTAGATTGTGTGAGTCAGGAAAACATGAAGATAGGAGAAAGTTCCAAGAAAGAGCATCATTTGAAGCATCAACCCAAATATGACAACAATATTCTATACAAGGTTGTTAAAGTTAGTTAAAGGGTTATCATTTATTAATATATGAATGTCAACGGTATTGCGATAGTTGTTTGCAGTAAATAACTGAGTTTTGTTGGAGTTAAAATTTACAAATCATTGTGAGCTCCAATCTGTTGCAGAAGTGAGATTCAAAATCAGTTTTCTGTTCTACGCAATCAAAAAGGAAAGACTTTCTGTTAAGACAAGAGTATTATGTTAGTCATCAGCAAAAAGAGCTACTTTAGATATAAGTTTGTCAAAAAGAATATTAATGTAGGTAAGAAATAAAAAGGACTATGGATAGAGCTTTGAGGTATCCCAGAAGTTACTGGAAATGAAGAAGAGTTTTTGCCTTCGTTTTTGTTGATCAAAGACCCAAAGGCCTTGCTAATGACAGAAAGGAGACTCATACAGAAAGAAGACTCAGACAATAATTGAATGGGTCAGAATGTTCTCCGGAGTTTTAGAAAATTGGAACAATAGATGTCATTTTTCTGCAGGCAGAAAACAAGACTCAGTCAAGCACTTATTAAATAGTTTAGAATTTGAAGATAGTTCTGGAAAACAGTTCTGTAAAACTGTGACAGAAATGTTGTCTGGACCACAAGCCGTAGAAGATTTAATCGAGATATGACTTTATCAATAAACGCTGGAGTGGTTTATAATGTCTAGCAATGGGTTAACCTCTTAAATTGGAATGAAAGGAAAAGAAGGCCATAAGAGTCAAAATAGAAGAAAAGTTCTTTGCAAATAGTTCAGCCTTATCCCTGGGAGAGGTAACAAGATCAATCCCATGAACTATAGATGAAATGTTAGACCTTTCTTTGTTAGCAACGCTGTTGAAGAGGACTCCAAAGCCTAACTTCTGAGATAAGATACAAGATTTAGTGAACTGAGAATAATGGAGCTTAGCATCTGACAGCACCTTTTTATATTGATTTCTTGCAATAATAAATATCTGTTTGTTCTCAAGAGAGTTTTTCTTTTTAAAAAGATTAAAAAATTATTAGAATTAGATATAGCAGCTGCACAAGAGGTTAAAAACCATGGAGTAGAATGAGGCTTGACTTAGAACCGCCGAGAAGGAACAAAAGCATCCATTCCTGTCTGAATCCAGGAGGTTACATTGTAGACACATTTTTCAGCTGAGAGGAAAATTTCATCAGCCCAAGGACCATCACATTGAAAATCACAAAAAGAGTCCCAGTCAGCTTTAGGGTAGTAGTAAGTAGTGCTATGATAGGGTGAATCCAAAAATGAAGTACAAGATAAAAGATTTAAAGAGATCATTGCTTGGTCAGAACCACCTAAGGGAGAAAAAGGAGAAACTGAACATAAACTAGGATTAGAGACCAGACCATAAGTCAAGGAGTGAAGGTAAATGATTAGGGTTGTCAGGAAAACAAGTCACAAAGTTAACTATCTGAGTAAGAGATTGAGAATTGCAGAATTTATAGGCTTTAGTGCCAGCAGGGTCAGTAGCGTTAAAACCAAGCCATTCAGTGTGATAAACATTTAAGTCACCAATAACAACAGTATTGGAAGAAGGGTAAAGAGAGAGAGTATGGTCAGTTTGATCCGAAAAATGTATAAATTATATCTAAAAGAGTGCAATCTTGGAAAGATTGAGAATGATAAAGGACAAAGAGAAAGGTGATAGAGTGAAGAGGTGTTTAGCGGAAGCACATAAAGGAATGGTCAAAGGATTCGAACCTAATTTCACAATAAATATATGAATTGATGCGTATGTATACCCCAAGCCAACCATGTTACTATTGGAGTCTAACTAAGAGCAAGCAAGTCTTGTAAATTTTGCAAGAGGTAAAATTCAACTGATGGAAAGTTGCTTCGCAGACCACAAATATTAGTAAAAGATAACTTAAGACAGGTGGTGGGGATGGTTTTTTATGTTTAATAGTTTGATTTACTTTTGGTTTAAGTTATTTAAGTTATTTAATTATATTTATTAATATTTAAGTTAAGTTAAGAGAACTTGACTCATTTATAAATAGAGCACTCCCTAGCAATGAGCTATGCAATTTTCTCAATTCTGTTAATTAACTCTAAGTCATAACATAGGGCTCCTTATGTGGCCTTGACAATCTGCACCAAAAATTGCATTAACAGAGACACCATCCATGCGCAACATGGCTCTATTAATATTTTGATATTTTGCAGCTGTTGATAGAATCAGCCTCTCTGAGAGCTACTATAGAGTTCAGGAAACTTTACTACCAGCCAGCCTGAACCATTTTTTAAATGTTTAAAAAATTCCTGAGCTTTAAACTCTAAATTAAAAATAGCGATAATATCATCCACATAACGTTTATAGAATAGCGGTATGGAGTATAACTCATCCACACACAAAAATGGGTTAGTAATTGCTCATCCTGGATGAGCAATTACTAACCCATTTTTGTTCATGAAATCCAATAAAAATGTTAGCTAATACTGGCGCTAAAGGAGCACCGATGGCAATGCCATCCAATTGATTATAGTATTTCTTGTTAAATAAAAACCGAATGTTGAGATTTGAAGTAATTTTTTGAACTGAGCTTTAGATAAATATTTTAAACACATTTTATCTTTAAACTATAAATCAGTAGCTATATTTATAGTTTCTTTAAGTGAAATATTAGTAAATAAGCTTTCAACATCATAGGAAACTATATATTTGTTAGTTATATCAACTTGTTTTAATTCCTCAACTAAAGAAAAAGAGTAAAATTAAAATTTAGGTATACAAGGAGGCAATAAATCAGAAAGATTTTTGGGAAATTTATAATTATATGTCTCGATTGTTGAAATAATTAGTTTAAAAGGTGGTAGAAAATCTTTACTGAGTTTGTGCATCTTAGGTAAAGCATAAATTCTTGCTTTTGTGTACCAACTGGATAAATTTTATTGTAAATTTTTTTTAATTTGCCTAAAATACCCTTGTAAAGATAGTTCTCTTTTAATAGTTGGATCGTCTTTTAACTCCTAAAATTTAGTTTTATCACATAATATTAGTTAACCACCACTAACAGAATATGTAGAATATATGAATAATATCTCTAAACATAGAATTCGAGGCAAAGATTTAGAAAATTTAAAGTCTATCACCAAGCACATTGTGGGTGTTTATTTTCCTTTTTGGTTTAAAATCAAAGTTGAATATTCATGGATTGAAAGTCCTACCATGTACTTAACCAGCTGCAGCAACTCAAATTTCAAAAAGATGATGTCATTAAATTAGTGTAAATTAAGTAAACCCTCTATTCAAAGATCAGCTTGTTTTGTTTCAGTGAGTGTATACTACAAACATTACTGTGTTCTAATACTGAAGAGAATACAAGTGTAGCTATTAATAAGATAAAAGATATTAGAGGTACTGGAAACGAAGATCTTCAAAAAGGTGTTTCTTCTCCTAGACCAAAAAAAAATCCTGTTCTAAACTTTAATACTGAAAAATTGGTAAACCTGATATCATGGGAGTCACCGATTTATGAACCAGTCTTAACTTCCTCTCCAACAACTTCTGAAATCAATGTTTTTTTATTAAATCCTATGCAAGTGTCAATTTGGTGATGTCATGGACAGTTTGTTGAACATAACGTTAAAGAAGTTACAGAAGTAGAGTATACACTCATGAAAAGAGGGAAGGATTTGTCTGAACTCAAGAAGCGAGTAGAAAGTTAGTGCCTAAAAATAATAGTAAATAAGAACTTGAAAGTTTGACATAAATGTTTTAAATTAACATGCATATTAAAATTTAAATATAAAGTCTAATTTTAAAATAAAAAAAATTCTTTTAAATTTTCTATGAGAAAGTATATTCATATCAAAATTAATTTTAATCAACATTTATATTTCAACTGATATTTATCGAATAAAGTAAAAAATGCTTATTAATGTTTAAATAAAAATTGGGTTTTTTTGAGAAACTAGTTCAAAATTTTATTTAAATATAAAAGTCAAATCACCTAAGCAAAAAAATTTGTAATTCAAATTTTAAATCCATATTTGGATTCTTCATAAAATTCTGCAACTTTTATAATCTCCCAAATTTTTTTCTTAAAGAAAATCCAAAATCGAGACGCCTTACTGCACACCTTCATGTTTTCCTAACTCATACAACCTATAACTTTTTAAGTCTTCTGTCAACTGTTTCCTTGCACTATTCTTTATTACACTATTCTTTATTTTCTAACTTATTGGCAGTTGCTTGCAGCCTTGTTGGGATTAAATTAGTTTTAATTAAAAAAACTTTTATATTTATGTGTTTTGTAGGATTTTAAACTAAAGTGGTTTATAATAAATGCAATTTTATTAATCTTATTAATTTTATTAATCTTATTAATACGCTTCAATTATATCAACTTTAAATTAAAATTGTTCATTTTTAGGGAAGCATTCTGATGTCATAGGTGACATTAGACTCTATAAATATTTGATATACCATTTTAGAACTGTTCTAATCCTAGTTTGATGAAAAATAAGAGAGAGATGGTTGCTATGAAGCTTAATGTAAAAACAACAATCCTTTTTAATGCTACCATATAACCATATAACCATCTCTAACTGTACTGAAAAAATAATTAATGACACTAAACACCTTGAAGTCTAATATTTCTAAATATTGTCAACATGATTCTTATGTAACAGATCTGAAAGTTCTAAACTTTAGTAAAATTTTATGAAACAAAACTTAAATTGCGTTGCAACCATTTGTTGCATCTTCCTAAAAGGTTGCAACCATTTGTTGCATACTCCTTATTAATAAATTTTAGAAATAATTATAAAATATTGAATTGAAGATGATTAGAAAAAAATTTAAGAGCCAAAAAAAATACTTTATTGAAGAAATATTTCACAAAATATTTATATTAGGTAATACCTTGTTGTTTTTTTTAAATCTATTTAAAACAGTTTGACTTACCAGTGAACTATTCAACCATTAAGTAGTACGTAGTATTATAAAATATTGACTACGAATTAGTTGCATAAGCAAGAGAAAGCCATAGAGGAGAATAAGCAAATATGATTTTTCTGAACCGTTAGAATTGCATTTCAAAAAAACTAGAAAAACCTGGCTGAATTGTTCCACAAACCCAAGTTGTTAGTTCAATGTATTTTAAGTCCACGAACCTAAATTATATTTAAGACATAATACGTTTAGTAGTGACGTAATAAGTTATGTAGTGGCACAATAATTTCGATAGTGACGTATGTTGTAAAACTTATACAGCGAAAATAAATTACAAAACAAGCTATGTTAAATTTATTTTATCTACGTGATTTATATACTTATCTAGGTAATTTATATACTTATCTAGGTGATCTATATACTTATCTAGGTGATTTATATACTTATCTAGGTGATTTATATACTTATTTAGCATATATTTTTTTGGCAAGGTTTTTTTTTAAAAAATTAAATTATGCAGAATTTTAAAGTTTGATATTGAAGTTTGAATCAGAATATTGAAAAAAGTGTTTTAAAATTGAATTTTTAAAATAACTTCTATCCGGATAAAATTTGTTTAAGACAAATAATTCCAATATTATACTTTTAAATTTTATTTATAGTGTTTATATCAAATATATTTTTTGTGTGGGTTAAGTAATGTTAATTCTGAAGTTTTTTTGTAAATATTCTTTTTCAAAAAGTATGTTTTGTCATAAAAATGTACAAATGAAAATTTTTTTATAAACCTAATATTATTTCTGACTTCATTTTTGTTTACAGATTAATGTAAATGCTATCAATCCAACAGTTGTCATGACAGACATGGGAAAAAAAGTGTGGAATGAGCCTTCTGTTGGAGATCCAATGAAAAATCAAATACCACTTGGGAAATTTGCAGGTTTACTTTCTCTAACAACTTGTTACAGTGTTTATATAAAGTTATTTTTATATTAGTGCTGAAGAAATAAAAACAACAATGGCAAAAATATGCCATTTGCGTTGAAGATAGTGGGAACTTTCACATTAAATGCTTTTCCCAGGCCTTTTGTGACATTAGGTCTTCTTAAAGGACCTCAATAACCAGAAAGAATAAAGCAACTTAGTTTTTACTCCAACAAGCATCCTAAGTTTTAAAAATTGACTTTTGAGTTACCTTAAATAACTTTGCATATTATGAATATTTGATATCATTTTGTAAAGAGAAACATTTTTAAATAAACGCTGAGAAGGGGGGAGTATAGTATAAACGCTTAGGGGGAGGGGAGTATTTCTTTTTTTTTGTTTATCTTAAACTAATTAGTTTATGAGAAACTTAAACTCTAAAAGTAATTAAATAACCGTCTAATAATAGTAATATGTTATTTTTTCATATGCTTTGATTTGCTCGTAGAAGTCATATGAATAATGATAGTTATTGTTTTTATTGTATTTTTTTTTTATTATTGTTTTTTTAGAGGTGGAAGATGTCGTCAACACTGTTCTTTTTTTACTTAGTGACGAAAGTAACATGATAAGTGGTGTTGTCCTTCCTATTGATGGCGGGTTTCTTGCATCAAGAAAGCTAAGTTAAAATGCGTTTTTCTTGTATCAAGAAAGCTAAATTAAATTGACATATATAAAGAATATCTGAAGACAATAAGTAATATTTTATTGGATTTTAATCCTAATTTTAATTAGTAATATCTAATTGGATAATTGGATAATAGGTAATAACTAATTATACTAACAATAATAATATCTAATTACTAGCGTTTGTCATGCTTAGCGATGAATTTAATAACTTTGATGAATACACCCTGCACCCGCACCCTGCAGATTTTTACCCAGAAATGTAAATTTTAAAAATAATGTAAAAAAAAAATTTAGTTGTTTGTTAATTAAACACATTTTTTTACAAAAAACGTTTTACCTATACCAGTTTGGTTAAATGAGAAAAATTATTTTTCTAGCTAAACATTGCGTTGTGTATTCGATAGGTTTAGTTTTCGAAATAAACGCTATCATAGAAAATTTGTTTCTTATATACTTAGAATTATAATCTTATAATTTCTATAAACTTATTATAATTATTCAGTTTTAAGTTAAGGCTTAAGCTAAGGTTAGGCTTTAAGTTAAGGCTTGGTTAGGTTTAAGTTAAGGCTTGGTTTGACTTTAGTTAAGGTTTGATTGATTTTTTTTTTATCTTAATCTTATGGTAATGATGGCCAAGTTATCGATAACCAATTTTCTTTGTTTTACTAGTATTATGTAAAATTTAACGTGGACCTTAAGCTCATATATTTTATTACTGTTTTCACCAAACTATATTTTTGCGTATCAATGTCTAAATAAAGATTTAAGTAATTTAAGTTTCTGTTTATAAAATGCCCAAACAATATTTTTCATCACGCAAATTTTAAAACAGACGTAATGTTTATTAAAGCAATTCATTTGCATTGCTATTTTAAACAGAGTTTCGTAGCTTGACTCCTTAATATGTAATATGATGCTCAAATAAAATTAAATATAAAAATCAAAAAAAAAATTTTTTTTAGAAAATCTGTTTTTTAATTTATTTTTAGATTTTTTAAAACATTAAATTATTCTAAAAGAGAGTTTAACCTAAGATATATAAGATATAGATATATAGAATTATATAAAAAGGTTAAAAGTTAGTTAAAATAATATAAAAAGTTTATTTGAGGCTAAAAAGTTATTTATAAAGAGTTTATAGTATTATATAGAAATACTAGTATTATATAGAAATACTAAAAGTCATAGCTATAATCATCAGTTTACATTAGCAATCATACATCCGTATTGAGAGTTCTGGTTTCGGAAATACCGCGTGTATTTGAAAATATTAAAATTGTACTGCCAGTTAAAACAATAATTTTCCATAAGTTTTCAATTTGCAAGTAGAAAAAGTTTAAATTAAAAATTAAAACTCATAAACTTACTATCGTGCCACATGATCAGTTACAGAGCTTATTTTGTCCCGAAGTAAATTTTAAAAACTTCTAACTTGTATAATTATAACATTAACGATTTAAAAAAAAACAGAATCTACAAGTTTGCCTAATTCCAATAAAGTTCCAATAAATACTCATTTATAAGAGTATTACATTATTTAAAAAAATATAGGCCTAAAGTATTTATTAATTTGAAAAAATTTGCGGTACCAACAACTCAATTAATATCCATTTATTAAATACAATTTTACGTTGTTTTTCAAGTCTTCCTTTCCTGTTAATTACGACCCTTTTATTTAATGATAAACAATAAAAATTGGGGGTCAAACTATGTCCGAGAGTTGGGAAAAAATGTTCGAAATAATCAAATTTAGTAACGGACGGAGGAATAGACGTTTACTTGATTATCGTTACATTGTATATCAAGCCCCAGCAGAAACCTGTCATTTAATGTATGTATGTTTTTTACATTTATATTCAACTACATCTGTCCCTAAGTGTCTGTCAAGATTAAAATTAGGCGCTTCTGTCACAAATTTTGATAAAAATTTTTTTTCATCTTTCTATTTATAAAATACAAAAAAAATGGCCAAGTGTATATCAAGGCATTTTTAACAAACGCACCTTGGACTTTATTAATTCCTTTAAAGTTTAAGGAAATAGATAAAGTCCAAGGTGCGTTTTATTATACTTCAGGGCTTGCAATAAAACGTCCAACCATGGACATTTTTAGCACTTTTGGGTTAGAGAAGTCTAATCTTAGATTTTTTAACGAAAAAATGAGGTTTTACATAAATAAAAACTATTTGCACATTTTTTTGATTAAGAAAATACAAGTATTGAATGACTTTTGATGGTCGTATATTGTTTGGGAGAAGAAGACTTTCCAATAAAATGCCAACCTGTAAAACACTACACCTGGATTACAAAAAATTTAAGACTTTTAATCTTTAATTTTTTTTAAATCATCTTGTACAAAAAGTTAACTTTGGCATACTGATTAACTGTTTTATTAGTTTTAATAAGATACACCGTTGTAGTTTGATTTTGTCTAAATAATAAACAAGTTCTTTAAAATTTATCTTGCATCTAGCAAAAACAATTTTTAACTGTTATTCAGTTATATCTGAATGCAATTTTTAATGATAAATTACAGCATAAAGAAATGCCAGTGAAGGACAATATGAAAACTGTTACATAAAAATAATGCATAAATATAACAAAAGAAAAAATCTAATTAATAAAATGGTAAAAGAACTAAAAACAAGAAAAGTGAGCTTTTTCAGTTAGTCGGTATTCTTTCCAATAGCAAGAACACTGGTTTAGTCAGTGATTCTTGCTCTACAATTTATGTTTCTAATTTAAAATGAACTCATTTTATAATTTTATTTTAATCTATAGATCAATTAGTAGAAATCGAAATACTAACTGAGGGTGTTGAAAAGATAAAAAGATTTTAACATATTAACATTCTTCTTTCCTTTCAATTTTTTTTATTTTTTTTATTTTCTTATCTATTAAAAATAATTAAATTGTTATTAAGATAATAAATTTTTCCAAATCACCACTCCACTCCCCCTGTCTCTTTTGAAAGCGGAATATAATAGAATTTAGGAATCAAAAGAGCTACAAAACTTGGACACTTTATAAAATTTGGAATGCGCATAGAATGTGTTAATCTAAAGGGTTAGAAAAGGATAGAAAAAAGTAAGAGCTTATCTACGTGTACTAAATGCAGAAAGTGTAAGCATGTTTTTGAGATCTATAAATTTAGTTGGAATGTTTGTCAGTATTAACAAAAACCACACAATTTTGTAGTTAAACTATTTTAATTTTTAAAAAACTCCAAATTTATATAAAGTTCTGAAAAACAAGACAACAAAACTGTATCCTATTAAACTTGCGAAATACAAACTTTAAAAAACGTGGAACAAAATTTTAACACAAAATCGGTTCCGTTAATACAATATATTATTATAAAACTTATGTAATAGATTAAAGCCAAAACAGGCTTTTAATTGCCTTTAAAAAAGTGTTTTTTATTGGCTTGTTTCTCAATATTTTTCAATTTTTAGAACAAGTCTTACGTGGGGTAATGTAATTTTTAGAACAAATCTTACGTGGGGGGGGGGGGGGGGGGGGGAGGGGAGGGGGGATGCAATTTTATTAGTCCACAATAATAAAGACAATGACACTTAAACATTTTAAAAAACTAATTTTTAAAAAAAATTTTCTGTTTCAACAATAAATGCGAATAGCGTATCAAGTATAGCAAACAAAAAAATAAATATTAGTAATATAATAATTAATAGAAACAATCCTTTAAAAATGTGTCTGATTTTTATTTGAAAAACCTAACGTTTTTTCCATATGATAAAATATTAAAACATACGTTTAAAAAATTCTGAAAAACTAACTTTAACTAAATAAAAAAAGGATCAATTAAAAGCTATTTTATAATTACAAAAAATTATCCAAATAACACTGCGATACTCAATAAAATCACCAACTCAATATATAGCTTTTTTGACAAGTAGACGACGTATTTCACATTCAGCATAATATACAAGATCTATCAAATACAAACCTAAATATTGTATAATTAAATGTATTTTCAACAATTACATAGACATAGAAACATTTCACTCTCTATAAAAGTTGCTAAGGGAACATTTTGTTTACAAAAAACGTTGCTTACGGAACCAGAAAAACTTAACGGGTACGCAAAAATGTCCCCGATAATGCTTTAAATGAACGAAATGAATTAATATCAAAACAAATTTGTTATCTGCAACATTAACGCCATCTTAGCTAACACTGTATTGCATTTTTTTATATAATTTTTGTTGTTGTTATGGTTGTAGGTAACGTCTGATGATCGCATAAAGCTGGCGCGAGTAGGTGTCACGTGGGGGGGGGTGCCATTACAACTTTTGCCGACTAAAAAAGAAAAAATAGAAACAATTAATCAATATCAATCAATCAATATATATTTTCGATAAAAGATCTTACAATCGAGTGGCCGTATTGTAATCTCTCCGTTAAGCTTAACGGAGCGTTAGTCTAAAATTTCTTTTTAACTACATTATCAAAAAAAATTCTTTAAAAGTAAGACAGGAAAGTTACAAACAGTTGTGTACTGACAAAACGTAACAACCTACCATGTAACTAAAACAATTACTGCAAAAAAATGTAACAATGATTTAATAAATATAATAATCTTAACATCAAAAATCATAATAAAAACAATAAAAGTAAAATAAATACTTCATTAAAAAATAACAATAAATAAACAAAACAAAAATTATTCAATAATACTTACAAATAAAAACAAGTCACACACACACACACACACACACACACACACACACACACAAACATTTAGTCACGAAAAGTATAGAGTTTTCATAATAAATACCAATATTAAAATAAAAAAGTAAATCACATTAAGCAAACACAAATAGTCACTCAAAAATAATAAAATTATTAAAAAATAATAAAAATATTAAAAAAATATTATTTTTTCTTTCTTCAAAAACGGAGCAATTTTTATATTTTATTTTAACTCCTTTCCATTTTCGAATGTTTTTTTTTTTTCTTTTTTTCAATCATTGTATCTCATCCAAGACACAAACATTGTGTCTCATCCAAGAGGAAATTTGAAATTTTAATTTTAGATTTGCCCCTCTTGATAATTTCTCAATGCTAAAATTACGTTATCTGCTTCTTAGACCATTAATAAATACTTTTGAAAAAGTTGACTGAAAAAATGTCAAAAAAAAAAGGTCTTTAAAACTTTTTTAGAGCCCCTCAATCCAGCACTGTCCCCCAATATAATTTTTGCCTGATTAATGAAGCAAAATGGGATTAATATATCGCTGCGTTAAATCAAGTTTATTTTTAAACTTTACCAATACAACGAAACTAACAGTGTTTAAAACGAGTCTAATTAAAAAGTTTTATATACTGATAGCATCATTCATGCCGTACAAAAAAATATTTTTATGGCTTCAACTGCTTCCTATATACATATTCTTTTGATAGCAGTTATGCTTGGAATATTTTTATTATACTACTTATTTGTTGTTAAAATAAAATAGTAATGGGGTTATATTTATCCATATTGCTAAACTATTGGGTTGAATACTTACGAGTAAAATAACCATTGTTTTATCTTTAAAAAAGTAGACTAATTTTATGCCTGAGCAATTAATTAAAAAAAAAATAAATAAATAAAAATATATAACGCATAAAATTTGACGTTGTATTTAAAATATAACAAAATATTTCATAAAATGTTTTGAGATTTACATAGAATCTGTATAAATCTCAAAATATTTTATCAAGTATTATATTATATCTTTCCAAATAGTCCCTCTGTAACAGAGGGACTATTTGGAAAGCATATTAAGGTTATTTGAAAACCTTTAGAAAATTCCTATATTCTTTAGATTGAGTAGTTATGTTTAGATGGTTTGAAAATAATTTGTTATTAGTTTCTTTTACTTTTGATATAAATTAATGGCCAGAAAATACAAAAGAAGCAATAAATGTGTCTATGTGCCATTCTTGGCAAAGTATACAAAAAATACAACAATTATAGTAAATAGTTACAGTTATAGTGATAGACGTTATAGTAAATAGTTATAGTTATAGACGTTATATACATAATCAATCAATCAATCAATCAATCAATATATTTCCACTTAATAACTGCATATATATACAATAGTGAGGGACATTTATAAACAGTTAAAAACTGATGATGCGTAAAAACCTACAAATATTGTAAAATTATAACAATAATAAATATAACTATATTAATACTAATAGTAATGATAATAGATAACATAAAAGGCTATCATAATAAAGTAGTAAATTAAATTAATAACTAAATTAATAATTAGTAGTCAAAAGTAACAATGATAGTGAATTAGAAGCAATAATAATAATATCAAGTTTAGGTATAATAAGCTAAATAATATAATACATACATATTTATACATATTATATGTTATATAGTTATAGTTATAGACTTTATAGTTATAGTAAATAGTTATACTTATAGTTATAGACGATCTGCAAAAGGCTGTTTATTTAGTACAAAGCAAAACACACACTCTTTCTGATGCTTCAAAGAAATATAAAATTCTGATTTCCACTCTGAGTAGAAACTATATTATATATAGTCTATAGAATAAAAAATGGTCATTAAACAACAGGTTGCTTAAGATATTTAGTGTTGAAGAGGAAAATAGTTTTGTTTACAACTTCAAAATTAGTAGTGAGTAGAGATTTTCATTTGATTTATTTGATTTAAGAATTATGGCTCCAAGTTATGATTAAAACTGGTAGGAAAATATAGATTTTAAAAGATAATCTTCCATGAAAAGAGTGGATGACAAGCTTTTTAAAATATATCAAACATGTTTTGTCAAATAGATATACAACCAATATTGCCAAAGAAAGAGTAAAAACTTCATCTTATATAACTGATAACTTCTTCAATAATCTTGAAAAAAATATGACAAATGTTTCACCTGACTACATCATCAACTACTAAAATACATCAACTCACCTGACTGCATCATCAACTATGATGTGACAAACTTGAGTGATGATCCTGGAGCCAAAAAATGTCTTTTTAAACTAGGAACTAAGTGTCCATAAACAGTTTTAAATACTTCTTAATAATCAACAAGTTTAATGTTTGCTGGAACTGCTAATGGTATTATTTTACTCATTTATGTTGTTTATAAATCATAACATTTGTGGGACACTTCGATAAAAGGTATACCTAATAAAACTGTTTTTAAAGAAGGTAAAAGTGGATGGTTCGATACTTTTTGCATAGAAGATTGATTTTTCAAAATAGTTATTCAATTTATACAAACAAAGAAAGAAGTAAAATAGTCATTGCTGACAATTTATAATCACATTTCTCTGAAAAAGTGCTAAATGCCTTTGAATGTCTTCTAGCTAAAACTATTTCTTACAATAATTAGATGTTGCTTTTTTTTGTTCCTTTAAAACACTATTAGAGGTTGATGTTTACTAAGTAAAAAGGCGATAAAAAATGACTTCACTCCTTAATTATAAAGTATAATTTGACAAAAATCTTGAACAAAGTGTAGCTTGAACTTTGCTCTATCCAAAATAACTGTTTTGCGATTGTAATTTACTACAAAAAGAATTTATTTTAAGTTATATTTATATTTCTTTCTGAATAGCCCCATATTACCATATGCAAAAAATTCTAAGTTAGTAAATGACCTTTTTTTTTGTATAAAAAAAAAACATTTTTTAATATAAAAGTTTAGTTTTTTTCAACTTTTTTTTGATTTGTAAACATTATATATATATATATATATATATATATATATATATATATATATATATATATACATATATATATATATATATATATATATATATATATATATATATATATATATATATATATATATATATATATATATATATATATATATATATATATATATATATATATATATATATGTATATGTTAACCATAGTTGCTTAATAGATTGTATAGGAAATGTTTACTCATTAAATAATTAAATTATTTAAGAGTATCCTAATGAAAGATTTTATTACACTTCCTGTGCTGGTTATTTCAGTGTTTTTGGGAATTTGGGCGCTCGGTACACATTCTTGGATTGTTTATGATGTAGCAGGTAAAATATGTAATATCTATCTGTGTGTTTGCATGTGTGTGTATTTATTAGGGTTGTTCACTAAATCATACTGAAAAGTTTAATTTTCCAGAATCATTTTTGCGTGGTTTATTTTTATTCATTAGATTTAGCTTGCAAAGTTCAAAGCTAGTTAAGCAACTTTTAGAGGTTCATTACCAGCAACATTACCAGCATAACTTATTTGATTGACTTTAATGTGTTATAAATCAAATTTCTACTTACTTGTTGGCTGAATTCTACTGTGCATGTTATTTTTAAAGGTGTTACTGAATTAATATTAAATTGACATGTGACTGAAAAAACTATAAAACTCTTTAAGTTATAGACTATTAATATTATGTAACTTTGCTGTAATTATATAACTTGCTGTAGATAATTTAGATATTGCCTTTTTATTTAGCCAGCATCTGAATAAAATCTCAAACTAAATGAATTCACTTTATAGTTTCTTTACACTTTATAGACTCTTTCCCCATTTAAATCATAATGATAAATTAGTTACTATAAAACTCTTTAAGTTATAGACTATAAAGTGAATTCATTTAGTTTGAGATTTTATTTAGACGCTGGCTAAATAAATAGGCAATATCTAAATTATCTACAGCAAAGTTACATGATATTCTGAAATTACTTATGCTGTTCTAATTTCATCATTCAATTAAGGAATAAACCCTTTTATAAGGTTATAAAATGTTTTGTGATGCAGTTATTTATATTTAGAGGCAAATTAAGATAGCAGCAACAGATTGAATTCTGTTTCTGGTAGCTTTTAGGCTTTTTTAGGCTGCATCAGAACTATCTGATCTGAAGGTAAACAGACAACAACAACAGTAGTGGTAGAAATTTTTTTTTTTGGCAAGACCACTATTACCAAACTTTCATGGATCAAAAATATCACCAAACATTGATGAATCAAAAATACAGCTATGCATTAATAAATAAAATTTATCACCAAACACTGATGAATCAAAAATATTATCAAACATTGATGGATCAAAAATATCGCCAAACATTGATGAATATTTTTTATATATTTAAATATAATTGGATTTAATATAGATTTAAATATAATTAGATTAAATATAAATAGATTAAAATTTTTTGTTTAGGTACTACTCGGTTTGGACTTATTTACATTTGTATTCAATTTTTGAACCTAAAGGATGAAGAGTTTTGTGAAGAGTTCAACTCACCTTCATTTTGGGTGGCATCTTTTATATTTATAATTATTGGGTTATGCCTTGATATTGGGTTTCTCATTCTTTTGATTTTATCAAGATGGCATCATTCATCGGAAAAACTTGCACGGTTAGTGGGAGTGACTGCAAGTAAATTTTACTTTTTTTTTTTTTTTTTACAGTAAAATTTTTAATTTATTTACAATGATTCTAATAAGTGTTACATTTATGTTAAATTTCTACTTTTAATAAATATCAAAAGTATAAAACTATGATAAAAAATGAAAACATTTTTTATCATAGTTTTATACTTTTCAGTATAAAACTATGATAAAAAATGAAAACATTTTTTATCATAGTTCAGGTTTGCTTTAAATTTAAGAAATGAATTTTGAACATGTTTTAATTATCAAGTTTCGTCTTTGAAAATTTTTTTTATATTATTGTTGAAATTATTGTTTTAAGTAAAATTATAAAAAAACAAAATACTTTTAGATAAACTCTTAGAAAATCATAGATAAAAAACTTCAAACTACTTACAATAAATCAGAGGTAACAAGTTGCTTTTAAAACAATTTATAGAAAACCATAGGTGAAAAATTGCCTTCAATACAAGTTATTATTAGGGATTCATTGAAATGCTTTTAGACTGAGTAAAATTTACAGATTTTCAGTTTTTATTTAAGTTTTAAACAATAAGTAGATATCAAAAGAAAATTGTAAATTATTTCAAAATTATCAATCAATCAATTTTCTGGGTGGATTATGCTTGTTTTTATAACAATTAAAAAAATATGAATAAGAATTCAATGAATTACAATGTTTATTTAAAGTTCTTAAGACAGATAGATTGCAAGTTGTTCTTTTTACTTGAATCTTTGTAACTGGCTATTATCTGGGGTGAGAAATTTAATGAAATGATCAGAAACTTTATAAATGATTATTAATTACCCCTAATTATCAATTTTATTAGTTTTGTAAAAAATGTTAAATATATCCATTTTAGATACTCAAGTGGCATCACTTAAGTATCTAAAATGGATATATTTAAAATTTTGGGCCATGGCCCAATTTGATATTAAAAAATAAAAATTATTATTATTGGTTATAGAGTGATAAGCCACTAATAATCCTTTAACCAATAATCATTCATATAAAAAAAAACTTTTCATATCAAAATGTACATATAAGCTACCAAGCTAAAAGCATATATTTATTTTGAAGTTCACAAGTTAAAATACTTTTGCTAAGTTATATAAAATGTGTTTAAAAATTATTTATCAAAAAAAAAAAATAGTACACAAAAATAAATTTTGTGTTAAGATTTGCTTATATGTTAACTATTTATCCAGTTGTTGCTACAGCTGCTTCAATGCTGCAAAGTTATGTTGTATAAAATACTTAGTTAGATCCAGTACTAATCAATTCAGAAAATTTTATTAAAATGGACTGTGCATATTTTTTTTTTTTTTCTTTTTGCAGCTCAACCATTACTTGTTCGATAGTTTTATTTTCATTTATCATACTAATCCATTAGAAATATATCATGTTTAAACAGAATAAATTCTTGATTTTAATTTGTTGATTAGGTTGAGTTTTTTGAATACCAGTTAAAGAAAAAATTCCTGTCATATAACATGTTCCTTTGCTCTTTCAAAGCTAATGGTATCTATAGATTCTGGGTTAAATTGATGATAGCTCTTTGTACCAGTTATTGCTTTATTTAGCTAAAAAAGTTTTTTAAAAAAGTGGTGCACGTTTCTGTCAGTCTATTCAATTTAGAAGAAAATATTCTATTATTTATACTGAAGTCAAACACCTTATTTAAATTTAATTTAAAATTTCATCATTTATAGGTCTCTCCAAGCTTGCAATAATTGTTTCACAATATCACCAATACCATTACATGGTGGTTTTTAATGACTTGTAGCAAAAAACGTCCACTTCCCATCAACGTCAAAATCATCTTTATGGAGACAGTAATTGTTAAGTTCTTAAAATGCGCAGCGCAATCATCTGGAAAAATACAAAAAAAATCTATTAAATGTTAAATTGTTTAATTTATATTTAAGCCTCATACACTAAACACATGCTTATTGATTTCTGAAATGAGGTATAATATTTGCTTCTTGTTTGACATTTTGAATGTAGGAGTGAGATGTTAACTTAATTTTTGTCTCAACAACATCACTCTATATGTTGTTGAGACAAAATAATATACCTCTTCATATAGTTATTGTCAATTGTTTGTGCACCAAGGAATCTGTATAAAAAAATAAAAAACTATAATTGGACATTAGACAGTTATGACTTTGATGAACCATGCACTTGTTACTTGTCACATCACAATTTTTGTCATCAAATCTTATAAGATACATTTCAATTGTACAGCACATGTTAAGAGTATTGTATTTTTATAGTTTGTACATACACAAACAGAGTCCCTCCAACAGTTGTACACCATTTTGGTCTTAAACTACAAAATATGAAAATCCCAATAACCTTTTGAGAATATTTAGTTTAAAAAACTTACAGTTATTTAAGATAATATAATGTACTTTTGCATCTGTTGGTTTCTACCAGTGCATAATCTTTATATCAGACACTTGTCTAGTATTTTTGTTGTTATTGTATATATTGTTGATTTAATTTTATTTCAGAAATAATTTTCACTTTCTTAGTGTCTGGCAATATCTTATCTCGTTTGTTTCCTTCATTTTGTATGCTTTTTATGTTTTGTGTTCAGGGAAATTTAAATACCTGGATGCATATTTTCTTGACTGAGACTCGGGTGTCCATGTTACATTTAACCTTTTTTTATTTTTACTGTTAGTTTGTCTAGTTCATTAAATTTACTACTGTCATTATTTGTGGTTAGTAAGATTTTTGGTTCAGTTTTGCTTTGCTATTTAATTTGAAGTACGCTCTTCATACTATAAATTTTTTTTTGTAACCTTTAGCAACAGATAACAATGTTTTTTCAATGTCATGAAGTTTTATGGGGATACTAATCAATTCATTCGATTCCTTACTCCAGAAAATTTGGTGACAAACGTTTAAAGTTTCTAAATAAACATTGCATTTCCAAAGAAACAAGAGGGGTCTAGCTGATATCTCCTTAAAGTAAAATAGTCATATTTCAGGGTAGGAGTTCAAATTTTGATTATGATTCGACTATTATTATTCACTCTTATACTAAGTCAACTATTAAAAACAGCAAAATCTGAGATATGAAGTTATTTTAATAACATATTGATATTATTAATTATATTATTTATATGAAATTAAAGAAGGTCTAACGACTCATTATTTTGATATGAGATTTGTTTTATGTTTAAACATCATGCAGTTTTATGTTTTTGAATTTTATATCAAAAGCAGCATGCTATCATACTTTTCTAAATTTAATCAAATTTAATCAATAAATTAAATCAGCAATCTTATGTTCTCAAATATCATGTTAAAGCAGAATGTTCTTAAATTGTGTTCTAATGTTCTTAAAACAGCATATTAATCCCACAATGTTGGTACACAAGGTTTGTAGTATAGTGCTTAACTTGTTTCTCTGCGCTGCAAACTTGTTCGTCAAGGTTTGTGTTTTAGAGTTATAGAGTTAAAAGAGAGAAAGTTGTAATCACAATAAAGTATCTGTGACTGTAGTTGCCTTCTCCTCATTGGGGAGGTAATTGATATTTAGAAAAAAAAGTGATCTTATGTTCTTAAATTTTCTTTTTATCTTTAAATTTTGTCTCTGTTCACTTATACTATAAAGCGAAGGCAACTATTTTTCAAGAATTATTTTGTTTCATGCCAGATTATATGATACCTGTTTTGTTTATCAACATTCTATATAAATGTTTTAAACCTTTATATATAAATATTTTAAAGTAGTGGGCAAGTATAAAAATTGATAAACTTTATAAATCTATGCTATTATTTAGAAGATTTTCTATTTGGTGCTGAATAAAATTTTTATTGAAAAACATTACAGAAAATAATCTTGTGACTAGTTACTAAAACAATGATGAATAAATTTCAACAGCATTGTAATTTTCTGAAATACTAATTTTCTTCTTATGTGTTACATTAAAAAATATATAAAGATATTTTACAAATAGCTAACAAGTAATTTTCTTCCTTTATTTTGTTTTCTTAGCTGTGAATTTTATCATAAAAAATAAACTTCTTTTTTCTTACAACCAATAATAGATTACATATTTAGTTGTAACTTTAATTTTTAGTAGATATATTTGAACTAAAATCTTCATTTAGTAGATATCTCATATAAAGTATATAGTAGACATATATTGGAGTAGTGGTGTAGTGGTAAAGCGTTCGCTTCATAAGCAAGAAGTTTTAAGCTCAAATTCCGCCAACTCCCTGGTAGTACCACGCTCAACTTACTTCTCTGCGCACTGGCCTTGTTTTTCAAGGTTGTGTTTCAGAGTTTAAGAGTTGAGAGAAGGTTGTAACCACAATAAAGAAGTTTTCTTGACTTGAGTAGCCTTCTCTGCCTTGGGAAGGTAAATCGCAGTTAAAAAGAAAAAAAAATCTGAAAAATTATAAAAAATAATAATTTTTATTTTCTATGGAATTAAATATTTAATAAAAACTTAGTTTGTATTAAATATTTAATTCCAATAGAAAATTTTTTTAACTTGTTTCTTTGCGAACCAGCCTTGTTCACCTAAGTTTGTGTTGGCCTGCCATTTTATTACTTGCAAACAACTAAATTATAAATTTAAGTTTTTTTAGTGGCTGCATTTTACTGTGCTGCAATATTGTTTCCGTGTGGATTTGGTGCAGATGAAATTGGAGGTGAACCATATAAACTCCCGCCAACCGCATCCATAGGTTATTCATTTTTTTTGTTTTATGCATCTCTCATTTTGCTGACAATGGTTGTCTTTTTTTATAGTTGGAGCATTATAAGAAGAATTGTGCTTAGAGATATAAGATAATCAGGTAAGAAAATCTGTTGTGTCTTGTTGGAATTATAGCCATATAATAGTGTTACAATTGTTCCAAAATTAATGTGTGTTATGATTATTTGTAATTTAAAATTGAAAATTATTTCTATTACTATTAGAATTATTTAAATTATTTTTGCAAAAATAAAGTTAAAGTAAAATTTTTATTGTAAGTTTTATTTTTATGTTTTAAAATTTTGTTTTTTACAATTTTCAAATATTTTGAAAATATGAAAATATAAATAAATATATCATTATTGACTTAAACGATAAATTTGTCTTAATAGCTTGCATATGTTTTTCATTCTTTTAAATTAACTTGTTTCTCTGCTCAGCAGCTTTTGTTCATCAAGTTATTTTGGAGAGGATTAAAATAGAGGTATAACAGTAAATATTAAAATAATATTAGTATTTCCTTTATTATAGTTGCCCCTAGATCTCAGGAATGTAGATATATTTTTAAAAAGTATATATCATGTAACGTTGCAAATCGTTAAGTAGACAGATAGCTGGTTGATTCTTATACTGGATTAGACACATTACATTACTTCGATATTTAAATGAACAGATTAGTATTACTTAATTAAATTTAATATCAATTTGTACATCAATATGATTTTTTAAAATAAAATTTATTTGAGTTGTTTTTTTAATTTGTTACAATAAAAATTGGCACTAACTTTGGTTGATATTTAAATTTTACGAGCAAAATAGTTTTTTATTTTTATTTAATTACTATAATTGAGTTGAGTTTGATTACTTTTAAATAATCATTAAAAACTAGGAAAAAATTACAATAACTTGTCACTTCACTGGTACACTAATCCCAACAAGTACTATTTTTATGTAATACAACTTTTTGAGACCTAGATACAAACAAATGCAGAGAAATAGTACCCTTCCTTTACTTGCCGTTGGAGGTATTGATTCCATAAAATTATATTTAATCATACAATATGATGACTATTTAAGGCGTTCTAAATGTTGCTATATTTTTTTCATATTTTTCAAAATCATTTTCATATTTTTAATAATTTTCTAATCTAAAAGGCAAATATTTTTTTCTTCCTGGTAAGTAAGTGGTAAGTGTCTGATAAATGAATTCTAAATTGTTTAGTCCTAAAAAAAAATCAGTGCAAAACAACTGCAAAAAACATTTTATGATAATACTTTTTTTCATACTTTTTTATATCAGGAAGTGTTATATCATAGAAGCATCATAGAACTATCGTAATTATTGACTATTTGTCTTTATTTAATTTTTCTTCTGCAGATCCTTTAGAAATTTTTACTATTCAATTTCATATTTTTAAATGTGTCGATTTAATTTTTTAATAAAGATTTTCTAGTATTAGGGAAGTATAAATATTGTAGTCAGTGAGCCAAATTCAAGAAGGTCTTAATTAAAACTATTAAAACTAAACATGGAATATCTCCACTTATATTTCAATTTTATTTTAGCGAAATATCTCATAAGTATCCAACAAAGTTTTCAGAGGATAACTTTATTGTTCCGAGAATTAATTTAAAAATAAGTTCTTATCGAATTCAATATCGAGGTCCTTTCTTATGGAAAATTTTTATTAAAAAATTTAATAAAGATCACTACTCTTTAGAAAAATTTAAAACAGTTTCTAAAAGAATCTTACTTCAATTAGATTTTAATTCAATAGACTTTAAATACTTTTTTTAAAAGGTAATTTTACAATAGAAAAAAAGCTTCCATTAGCACTAAATATATTTTGTTATATGTATCAAATATATTTGTATTAGTATACAAAACTTTCTTTATTTTTAAATTTTTAATATAATTGTCATTTTATTATTTGACAAAAGTTATGTACTGTTTAACGTTTTTTTTGTATATTTTATTCATATTTGTTTATAAACACGGACGTTTTGTAAACGGGGCTCGGTGATAAGACAGTCATTGTTTTCTTCTTGCTCCGCCCAATTTTTATAAATGTAGTATGTCTTTATTGTAAATATATGAAACGGAAAACAAAAAAAACAAAAAAAAAAACTATTACAATTTGTAAACTAATTGCATGGTTTTTTTAATTATAATCAAATACTGTTCCTTTTGCAGTATAAATTATAATTGACCTAATATATCCAGATAAAGATTTTCATAACATATTAGATTTGATGCCAAATTGGGCCATTTCTAAGGGGATATATTGAATTCAACCCAACCTATCTTTGTAGAGCATCAAACTGTTTTCCTGGGATGAATGCATCATTTTTTGATATTTTTGACTAAATTTATATTCATCGACAAATTTTAAATTTCATACAGCAATCTCTTAGGATTCAAAAATTATAATTATATAAAGTTCGAACCCCCTCAGTTTGAGGGGGTTTAAAAAAGATTTGAACAACCTCATAAATCGTCAATTCTGGTCCTTATATCAGGTTTCACAATTTATTAGTTTATAATAAAGTTCTTTATTTTGAACTGTTATAATTATAATAGAGTTAAGATAGCGAGTTAATGACACAGATTGATTACGCAGACTTATCTTTTTTAGAAATTTGTTATGGAATTGGGTTGGTATTCGTTTCAAATAAAACATTTATAATCCTTACTTGTGTCTGAAAATACTTTGATTAAATGGAAATCAATTTCTTTACGATTAGTTGGAAAAGTAATGTGCAAAACATCACAAAACTAACACGTATATATTACATTTATAAGGTGTTGCAATCAAGCGGCACGTTCTAAAAAGAAATTTTGTACGCTCATTTGATCTATATTGGATTATCATGAGTTTTGTTATGAAACTTTTAACTAAAATAAAATGTGTACATGTGTTGAGAGCAAATAATAGAGATATTAGAAAAACATGATTTAATAAGAATTTTTATCTGGTATACTCTATACTTGTTTTTAAAAATCATTTTAAATTGTTTAAGAAAATTTTTTCCTAAATATTTGTCGTATTTAACAAATTAGAGTTTTTCTTAAGTTTTAAAAATCTTTTATTGCAATTTCCTTGTGTTATAATTGATTTATAAGTAGCTTATGTTTTTTTTTTTTGACTATTAAAAACTAACTATTGCGTAAGGGACTGTCTCCATAAATTACGCAACGCAAAACTTATTTTAAAAATATAAGTAGGAGATTATTTTGCTCTTTTGCGCGGCGGTTTTCGCTGGACTTTAAATGATGTTTATATACTTGGTTTAATTAATGACTCTGCGAAGGAAAACTTTTAATGCCTTGTCTTTTGTCTATAAGTTTAATTTGGCGTTACGTACTTTATGAACGATCCCTGTAGGGAATATTACATTATATCTAAACCGGTAGCTCTACTTTTTTTCTATAAGCTTTTTACAAACTTTTTTACCTCCTAATAAGGTTTCATCGTCCCATATATATAGTAAACTTTTTTTTGATTTTTTTAACATTTAACACATTTAACATTTAAGCAATGGATTAATGAATCCAAATACACGATGTCCTCGATCATGTGTTCAAATTTTAAGATTCCTTTGATCCCATGCAAACTAGATTAGCAAAATATTTCATTCGCAATATGTCTAATAGACCTATATTTTAACAAAAGTAATAATTTAAACACTCAATATAGTTTATATTACCTGTTTCAAACACTAGTTCATCTATAATAAACATTTAGAATCAAGTAATAGATTTATCGTATTTTTTTATTCGCACAACACAAATGTTAATTGATAAAATGTTTCTTTCTACTAATAATTAATAATTAATGTTTTTATTTTATATACTGCGATACCGATGCTGGATTAGATACTTGCTAAAAGTTTCTAAAACTCCCGTCTTTGTTTCAAATATTCTGACTAGTAATTAATTTTCTATAGATATATACTCGTTGTTTTCTTTAATCTGAATTTAATATTATATTTACTGGTTGTTTTCTTTAATGTGAATTTAAAAAATAGAAGGTTAATTTGCATTTTATGATGGGCCTCACTAATAAAAGAAGTCAATAATTTCAAAAACATTTAGCATCAAATAATAATTCTAATCTAGTCTTTAATCCTTTTAGAAAATGTTATTCAACTTTAGATAAAATAAATTGTTTTGGAACATTCTTTTAATAAATAAAAACTTTGTAATATTTCTTTACAATAAATTGGAAAAAATGAAAACAATTTTGTAAAATTTGTTTGCATTTTTTCTAGCGACTTGTAAAAGTTTGTATTTTTTTCTAACCAATATTAAAAGTGGTCTAAGTAGAAGTTTGATGACATGTTTATTTGAGAATAATATATTTTTAAGCATATTAAATCAGAAAAAACTCACTTAAATTTCAAAGGGTATATCCCATAATATAATTTATTATTGAATTTATAACTACATGATTGCGGTTATGACATTTTGTAATAACCGCATTGATTTTGTACAGGTTACAAGTTGATACACAGAAGTTCTAGTAGGTGATTTATATGTTAATAACGTAAAATTAACTTCTTAGTTATCAATAAAGTCACATGTTCATTTTCCAAACGATTTCGTGACTTCAATTTTTTTTTTTTTTTGCGATTGTATTAGAAAAGTTTTCGCTTTGTAAATGAACGTTTATTAAATTTGAACGTTTGTTAAATTTGAGGTAATTAACATAATTATTATATCTTTGTTTTTTAATATCATGTCTTTGTGTCTTATAAGTGATTATCTCGATCAGATTTGTCATCTGATGGAAAATCGACTAGCAACTAGATATTCGTAACAACAAAGCTATCCGGTGGGAAATCAGCTCTCAATTAGATATTCGAAACAATATTTCTATTTAAATCATCTAAACCTTTTTTAAAAACCCGTGTGTATACACACCACAGTTCTTTTGTTAGCGATACCGACTACCTATAGACTTATAGTTAAGTTTTACCAAGTTAAAAAGTTTCGATATTTATCATATTGTTTTAAAATTGTCAATTCAAATCCCACGATAGGTATATAAATATTGCTATAGCGATAAGTGGCTATAACCACCTAGTTTTTTTCTTATTCTTGTCGTTATGTAGAAGCTAGCAACTAATTTACGATATGTAGCCATCGATTAACTTTGATTTGTCGTTATGCAGTAGATAGCTACACGCCTTGGATCTGTAACTATAGATATAGAAAAAATAATTAATGTTGATAGCTAAGGTATGTGGCCATCATCTAGCATCAGATTTATCGATTGGTTGTAGCTAGCAACAATTCTACAACATTTTGCTAACAATATATCGTAGTAATATTGATACCTACAAAGCTGCGATATCAAGATAGAAACACGCCGTAATAAAATCGTAATGCTATAAGTTCAATTATTACCATAAATATACAAGATCAAACACTAAAATTAAAACTTTTAGATATGTATAATATGAAACAATAACAATAACATGAGAAAAAAAAATTCCTATAAAGCTAGCTATTCTCTATCTCTTTCCCACCGGGCTAAAAATAGTTAACCAAGAGCAACCTTCAACCACGTTTCGCTGTAAACGATTTAACTTTGTTGATGTTTTCATCATAAAATTTTACAATCACGATTTTAAATTTTGATTATTTTTGATAAGATTATTTTAATTAGTAAAAAGGAATATTTATAGAACTAAATATAAGAAGCCAATTATAAATAATAATAGCAATAGCAACAATATTAATAGCAATAATAATATTAATAACGATAATAATAATAATAGCAATAATAATAATAATAATAATAATAAGCCTAAGTGTTAACAAGTGGACAGCGATTAACTTTGATTTTTTTGCTAACTTTTAATAAATAAATTTTTTTTAATCTTCTTTTGAGTAGAGGATATTAAAGCATCAATTCCAATAATAAAAAACTACAAAGAAAACAAATTAAAATTAAAAATAAATTTTCTAGTCTATTCACATTTTAGTAAATCCAAAAGTCAAAAACCTTTGATTTACAAAACAACAACAAAAAATTTAAAAAGCATGTTTTGCAAAAATTTATTAATTTTTGAAGGTATCTTCAATCGTCTCACCCGATAACAGGGGTTTTTCTTTGCTTCTTTTCTTGCTTATTAGTAATAACAACATTATAACAGGCAAGTGTAATAACGTAAAACGAAACAAACTTCGCGCTGTATTGTTATTAGAAGACTTATAGAAACGCCAAGACAAAAGCGTTAAATAGGTATTAAAAGGTAGAGCCAAAAAAAAGAACCACCAATGACAAACTCCAAGTAGAGAAACAACTGCAGCAATAGGGATTTGAGCTACGGCATGACGCAGCGTTACTCGACGACATAACGCCGGGTCTGTCACCGACATCATTTTGTAACCAGCTGAAAAAAAAAAACACAGACAATTGAATATTTGGTCATGTTTTTACTTTATTTAACGAGCGCAGCGAATCTTTGCGCTCTTTAATTAAAAACATTACTAAAAACATTACCATTTCGAAAACGAATATTGAAACAAAAAAGAGTGTTTTTGCCGATTTTCGCTTAGTGGTTTTTGATACTGGAATTCTTATAATTTAATTATACAAATCCTAAAAAACGAATGTTAGGCTCATATTTGTTTTTAAGAAGTATTTAAAAAATTACGAATTGGATTTATTTACATTTCATAAAATAGAACTCATGCAAATAAGAAGTTCAAAAAAAATGGAAACTTTTATTTATTGATAAAATAACTGGATCAGATGTACATAAGTCTTTTCATGTTATCTTTATTTATTGTGATTAAATATTTACAGGGATGATCCCTATAATTTTCAAATTCTTTTATTACTTTTCTTAAGTAAACCTATTGGCTTTTTATTACTTACGGTCAATGTTTAAGGTCTTGTGATAAACCCTTAAATATGGACCAAGGTCTAGTGATAAGACTGAGGCATGTGATACCACGATATAAACTTGAGTGAGCTTTGCAGTATTCAAATTAAGTGAACGAAACTAGCTGATATAAAATCCCTCTGATATAAAAATAATAATTAAGCCAACTTTATTGGAAAAAGCTTTTCAAGTAGTATCACCGTCATTTGAAGTTGCTGATCCGCAACATTTTGGATCGTCACTAAAAGATGAATATTCACATATACAAGAACATTGAACTGGAACTTGTTATAATAAATAAGGCAGTATGGACTTTGCCATCTATCAAAGTTAATCAAATGGTATTTCTGAATGAAATGAATTTGTCATACCTCCCTACAAGCTATTACTAGTGTTATTTAATAGCAATTAGTTAATTAACACAAGATCTTACCTTTTAAAGTAGTTTCCTCAATCAGTAACAAATTATTTATTTATTTTTCAAATTTAAATCTGATATATTGACAATGTAAAGTAGATGGTTTCTCCATCATAAGTTGAGGATTTCTCCATCATAATTTGCAATCTGAAATGGAACTAAATATATAGTTCCACTTTAGATTATGTATAATCAACAAAAATCATATTGTTTGGGTAGCAAAAAAGTTTTAATGATTTCAAATTTGTTATTTGCAGGATACAGGTTGCAGTACTTCACAACTTCAGCATTTCTATGTAAATAAAAATCATATTGGTCATATTTGAATCATATTTTACATCAACGACAGAGAAGATTAAAGACTCAGATGCGTATCTAAATATATTTTTGATTGCTTTAGTCTTTTCTGCTTTTTTTGTTTAGTTAAACTTTTAAAGCAAAAAATAACTTAGTTGACAAGTTTCTTGTAGTCTTGAAAGTGAAAACGAAAAGAAAAAGAAAAGGGTGATCAGTGCTAAGCGAACATTAAGAGTTTGTAGGAGATATGAGTATTTTATTTGCATTTTTTTTTTTCAAATTAATTTAATCTAGCCATTTACCATTAATTAAAATAAATTTAGATTGTGTGTTCAGAGACTTTCCAGCATAATTTAAGATGGGCAAAAAATATTATTTAAAATGACCCCCCCAACATTGTTATAGTTCTTTAAGACAACTCAAAAGTTAAAAAAATGATTGTATAATTTTGCAGTTTCTTAAAATAGAAATGTTAATATCTCTTAAGAGTTTTAAATATCAAAAAATTTCATCTAAAAAACAAAATTGAATTTAATATTTTTTCTTTTAAGAGAACTGTGAAAAAAATTATTTATACACATAAAGAAAATGTAACCAAATTTATATTAAATTGTAAAGGTTTACATTTTTTTATTTAACTGAAGCAGTAAAAAATAACTTTAATAATTTTGTATCAACACAATTCTATTTTATCAACACAATTTTATTTTATCAACACAATTTTATTTTATCCACACAATTTTATTTTGTCAACACAATTTTATTTTATTAACACAATTTTATTTTATAAACACAATTTTATTATTTATTATTAACAATTTTAAAATTGTGTTGAAACAATTTTAAAATTGTTTCAACACAATTTGCATAATAGATTAGTAGTTAAAAAGTTGTTACAAATTTTTCGCTTTAAAATTTTTTTTCTTTTTTTTTAATAGTGATTATGAGTCAAACATGAATTAGTATTTTATTTATGGAAAAAGAGCACAAAATTTGCATAGAATTTTATTAGTTTAAATGGTAGATTACGCGAATAGTAAATTCACATAAGTAAGAGTTTGGAGGATATTAAAGAAAAGTTTATCTGATGTCTAAAATAATGGGTTGCAGCAGAAAACATATTAAAAACTGTCTCCTACTGATGCATAAAAACTAATAATTAAACTTGCATTAAACTGTTTCAAATAATATAGACAAAAAAAAAACGTTACTACAAACTATTTACAAGGTAATAAGTTACATCGCAATATAAATTAATGTTAATATAAAGCCTGTCAAAAAAGTTATTAAATGAAAAATGTGTTAAAAACCAAATTTATGTGTAAATAACCGAATGAAATAAAATGTATAATATAAGCAAAAAGTTTTTTTTTTGTAATAACAGCAGCATTAGTGTAACTGTAACTAAATAATTTCAGCGAGATTCCAGACATTCCAACGTAATTTAAGATAGGCAAAAATATAATTTAAAATGATCTCCCAACATTGATATAATTCTATAATTTAAGACAACTCAAAAATTCACACTTTATTAGCATTTACTTCATGGATCATGTTAATTAGTTTAAATTTTCTTTATATTAAACTTATCCAACTTGCATTTGAACTCATGTGACAAAGCATTCCACAATTTTGCTAAATGATTCAATATAAAATTTTTCCTAGGTAAGTAAGAAACTCTTTTCTCTATCGTATTTAAATTTGTGACCTTGTTTAATTAATTCTTGTCTCAACATAGAATAAATTATAGATTCAGTTTTTTTTTTAAATAATTTATTAACTTAAATACGTATCAATTTTTTCTTTTTTTGTTTCTAGTCATTAATTCTGATATTTTTCTAATATTAAGTTTTCTTGAAATTGGTACCAATCGCGTCATTCGATGGATATCTCCTTTACAAATATAATCATATATATCTTCTTTATAAATGCGGCGACTACACTGGATTTGCAAAGTTGTTTAAAGAATTTTAATAGAGCTTTAAATATGATGACCACACAGGTTCACTGGATTTGCAAATTTAATTGTAGATCTTTGAATAGAGCTTTCACTAAATTTACATTGAGTTAAAAGAAACTTGGTTTTAAAATCACAAAATAATTTGTTGTATCCATTTTTTGACCATTCTGATGCATTGAGACTCCTTAGCAAGTTGTTAATCTGATTAGTTTTGTATCACCAGCACAATGGTTTGACTGATTCTTGAAAATGTTTGAAAAATCAATTATAAGCAACAAATGTAAGGAACCAATAACAGATATTAGATGCACTCCACAAAATATCTCTTTTCACAAGGAAAAAGTTTCACCCAGCATGACTCTCTGTTTTTTTAAAAATACTTTAATTCATTTAAGTTCTACTTATAGGCAGTAGTCTTTTATGGGCAAAAGAACCTAATGCTTTTACAAAATCTAGCAACACTTTGCAATATGCATTTAGCCAAAATGCATGAGATGTAATTCAAGACTTCAAATCAATTTGTGGAGCGTGACTTTTCTTTCACAAATCCACGTTGTTTCTTAGATATTAGCCTGTATTTCTTAAAATCTTCTTGTAGACAAAAAAAAACTGGGTGACTAAAAAAAACTTTTTTTTTAAAGTCTTCTAAATTTTAAGGTATGCTATAATTAAAATCTTTACTGACTTGCCAAGGCAATAATTTTCATTCTAAAATGTACATTTTAGGCAATGAATTTAATTGTTTTAAATATTCTCATAGAGCTATAGTTCTTCTCTAGAAATTTACAGGAAGAATATGGTCACCAAATTTTATACTTGAAAATTACACAGTACGCTATGGAAATTTCACATAAATCGATTGACTACATTTAAAGACATTACAATGGTTCTTTCGAACATTTCATATGGTTTTATGTTTTTAATGGTTCTTTGCCACTCATTGTGCACATCTCACCATTGACTATATTCTACATAATCAATGTAAGTTTTTACAATTTTTTTACTAAGTTTGCTGCTTAGATTGCTTCTTTAATTTTTATTTATTTATTTGATTTTAAGAAAAATCTTGAAAAGTAAGCATATTTCAGAAGACAGGTTTTTGAATCACCAAAACATATGAAAAAAAAGAGGATTTTTTTGCAGAAATTAAAAACTTTTTAGAAATTTACAATACTAATAGAATTTAACTAAAAATAATTACCCCTTGAGTAATCTGGTCTGTAACTCCAGCTAAGAGCATTAAAATGAGGAAACTGCCAAGAATAGAGAATAGCAGCTAATGCTAGCGCACCCATATCTAAACCACCGGTACATGCTGCCCATCCCATAAGAGGTGGGATACCACCAACCAATGATCCAATCCAGGTGTTAGCAATATGATACCTCTTTGATGGTGTGTAAATGCCAGCATATAACAAAATATTAAGAGCTCCTGTAATAAACAGAATTAAAATAATATTTAGTTATGGGCTTTCTAATAAAGTGGAGGTGGGATAGCAGTTAATGTTGAATAATAATACTGTTAAACTATTTTTGTTAAAACAAAAAAAAGTGTTTTCAAAAAAAAAGTAGGTTTAGTTAAAAGTTGTTGAGATTCCAACAACAAAAATGCCTTTTAAAACAAACTTTATACATTTTTTGACAAAAAAACAACAACAACATATTTTTGACCCTTTCACTCCCTTTGATTCCATAACATTTGTTCATAAATGTGATCACTCTAAAAACAGCATTAAGTCACAAGACCAGGTCTGAAAAATTTTGTTTTTAAAAAAATTACTCTGTGGGCCATTTTTCTCTCATGTTCTTATTAGTAAAAATTGCATTTGTAAAAATTTATCATTATTATGCATTCTTTCATTTAATGCGCATTAAATATATATATTTTTTTTAATTTGCAAAATCATTTATTAATTTGAACAACAATTTTTTTTATTTTTTTTTTACCATCTTCGCTTCCAACAAGGCTGCAAGCAACCACTAATTAGTGTTGGAAGTTACTGGAAAGGAAAAGATGAAGATTGTAAAGCAAGATAATGATTGACAGACGACTTAAAAGATTGCAAATTATATGAATCAGAAAAGCAAGATGAAGGAAGCAAATTCCAAAGAACTGATGTTCCAGGAAAAAAGCTAGACAAATAAGAGTTTTTAGAGCACTTAGGAACAGTAACAGAAAAAGGATGAAACTTAATTGAATGACGAGTAACACGAGAATGAACTTTAGTAGATGGCACAAGAGACGCTAGCTCTTTAGAGCAGTGCCCATTATAGTATTTGTAGAAAAGAGAAAGACAAGCAACATTATGACGATGTGACAGAAGTTGAAGATTGGCTGCAAGAGCAGGTCCAACTATGTTTACAATGCGTTTTTGCACCTTGTCTAAAAGAGAAAGGGCATCATTAGAAGATCTGAAACAGATATGGCAACAGTATTCCATACAAGGTCGGATTTGAGATTTATAGAGAATAGATTTGAGATAGAGAATAGAATCCAGAGTAAGAAAGTGTCGAGCTTGATAAAGAGATGCAACATTAGCAGATGCTAATTTTGCAATGAATTTGATAGAAGGTTTCCAAGAAAAATCAGAAGTGAGAGTTAATCCTAGAAGATGAAGGGTAGGAGACTCATCGAGTACATTACCGTTCATAAATATAGGATGGTCTAAATTATTGCGATAACGATTGGCCGAAAAAAATTGAGTTTTATCTGAATTAAAGTTCACCAGCCACTGCGAGCCCCATGCTGTAGCAGAAGTGAGATCCTTTTCGAGCTCAGATGCCCCCTGCAAGCAATCAGAGAAAGTTGGCTTCTTATCGTGACAAGAATAAATGGTAGTATCATCAGCGAACAATGCCACCTTGAGATGTGATATCTGGAAGATTGTTAATGTAAATTAAAAAGAGTATAGGGCCAAAGATTGAATCTTGAGGAACCCCTGAGGTTACAGAATAAGAAGAAAAGTGCCATCAAGGACAACTTTTATACTACGATTGGGAAGAAAGGATTCAATAATCTTAAAGATGTTTCCAGATACACCGTAAGAAGAAAGCGTATGGAGAAGACCAGCATGTCAAACTTTATCAAACGCTTTAGAAATGTCAAGAGCGATGGCATTAACCTCTCCACCTTTATCTAATACACAATAAAACCTATCGGTTATTACTGTTAGCAAATCAGCCGAAGAACAAGAAGATTGAGATCCATATTGATGATCAGAAAGTAGGTTATGAGATTCAAGATGAGAGATTAAGTGTTTGTTAATTAAAGATTCAAAAACCTTGCTTATGATAGGAAGAAAACTAATTGGACGGTAGTCAGATGAATCGGATCGCTCTCCAGAATTTTTTAAAATAGGGATAACAGATAATATTTTTTTATTCAACCATATCAATAAAATTTACAAATTTCATCGTAAATTAATATAAATTGGTTAGGTGTCACTCATATAGTTACAAACTAGTCAATGGAGTGACACCTAAAAAACATATAAATTTCACGAAAAAATAAATAAATAGAAAGAAAAAAAAAAAAAAAGGAAACTAAAGTAAACAAAACAAAACAAAAAAAAAAAAAAAAAGGAAAAACTCAATATCTGTAAATATAAATAATAAAGAAAAGAAGAAAAGATTGTTAAACAAATAATAATGATATATGTAATAATAATAGTAATAATACAAAATAATAACAATAACAATAAGATACCAATAATATTAAGAATATTATAATACAATATAAATTGTATGTACAAATCATAGATGATAATTAGATATAATAATAACATAAAATGTAACATTAATAAAACAATAATAAATAAATATAAGATTGGTAAATAATAAATAAAATAAAAATCAAACCACAAGACAACTATAGTACAGAGAGAAATTATAAAGAAATACACTCCAACAATATATTTTTAAATTGAATTCTGTTGAGCAGTAAAAAATTCGTAACAAGTGGATATTTTTCTTAGACTTTTTTGTTAATACAGGAATACACTGGTTCCATTGAGAGATACATTGTTGTTTTATGGAAAACTTACCATATTTGATTGTGCTGAAAAAAGAATAGTATAGCTTACTATTTTCTGTATTCCTGGTGTGATGATTATGAACTTCGTTTGTTTTAATAAAAAAATTTGAAAAAGGGCTTGGTAGTTTATTTTGGAGAAAGTCAAACACAAAAAGACAATTGTAAAACTTTACAAGATTATGGAGTTTTAGGATTTTTAGTTCAGAAAATTTTTTTTCGATATCAGATCTCATTGGGGAAAACGTCATTATTCTAATAGATGCGCGTTGTAAACTTGTAAAAAGTTTCTTTTTTGACCCCAAACAATACAACAATAGCAAAGGTGAGAAGAGAATAAAGAAAAATAAATCATTCGAAGAGTTTGGATAGGAACATAGTAACGAATTAGAGAAAGCATACTGTTAGCTCGTGTAAGTTTTTTTTTTAGATGATACAGTTGATTATACCAAGATAGGTTTTCATCAAGATTTATTCCAAGATACTTTATATATTTTGCTGGAAAAAGTTTTTTACCGTTAATTTTAATTTTAATATGATCAATAGTTTTTTGAGGGGAATGAAAAATAATGTATTCAGTTTTATTGACATTCAAGGAAATACGGTTACTATTTAACCAGTTACATAAGCGATGAAGATCTTGATTAACTTTTTTACAAATAGTCGTGAGGGATTTGTTGATATATAAAAGATTGGTATCGTCAGCATAATGATGCATCATAGAATTTTTTAACGAACAAGATAAATCATTTATATATAATAAGAACAACAACGGTCCAAGAACGGAACCTTGTGGAACGCCATATTTAAAAATGGCCATATTTAGATGCTGCTTTCCAGCAGGCTGGAAAACAAGACTCTGATAAGCACTTATTTAATAGTTTTGAAACGATAGACGACAGCTCCAGAGAACACTTCTGCAAGACTGTAACAGGTATGTTGTCTGGGCCGCAAGCTGTAGAAGAGTCTAAGCAGGAAATCACTTTAAATACAGAAGCTGGAGTGATATGGATGTTGAGCAATCGATCAACCTGTTTGACGGCTATATCAGGTAGAACGCAACTAGTGGAGTCAAGAAATGATATTGATGAAAAGTTCTTAGCAAACAATTCAGCATTGTCTTTAGGTGAGGTGACAAAGTCTGAACCATACAAAAGAGGTGGAATTACAGACTTGCCCTTATTATTGATACTATTAAGGATTCTCCAGAAATCAAGAGAGCCTAACTTTTGTGATGAAATACGAGATTTCATGATCTGAGAATAGTGAGCTTTGGCGTTAGACAAAACCTTTTTACAATGGTTCCTAGCAGTAAAAAACAATTATGAAAAAGACAGGATACAAAACTAAAAAAAACAGTCTATTATAAGTATTAAAAGCGCGCACACACATACACACAGAGTGGGCAAATGTATAGTATAGTAAAAACATATATATATATATATATATATATATATATATATATATATAATATATATATATATATATATATATATATATATATATGTTTTTACTATAAACAATTTAATGATCCATATCAGAGTACAGATACCTAGGACAGCTGTAGTGGGATTAACCAAACTTAAAGTCATGACACCAATAGTTCCTGTACCCAACCCAAACAACACAGCATCCATAGGCCTAGTGAATCAAAAATAAAAACTTTCTAATTAAAAGTAAAAAAATAACTAAACGTACTTAAAAATACAAATAACAATTTTTTTTTACCTTATAAGCCCTCGCACCAAAACTCTATCTCTTGTTCTTGACATTTGACAATCATAAGGAACTTCTAAAAACTTCAAAATATTTTAAAGAACATTCATTAAAAACTAACTATTTTAAAAAAACAAGCACAAAATATGAAAGTTAAGGTATATATAAAAGTTATTTGGTATTATATAAAAGTTATTTGGTATTATAAAAAAGTTGAAAACCACCTGATTTAATGAATTAGCAGATGCAGAACAAAGTGTTGTCCCAATCACAGTACACATCAATGCAAGAGGTACCATTGGTGCCGGAGCAATTGCATAACCAGCTGCTGCAGTAAGAACTACAAGGCCTAAATAATAAATAAAATAAATAAAAATAAATAATAAAACTTTTCATATAAGATAAATTTTTAACTTTTAAATTCTAAACTTGCTAACATGAATTTAAAATTCAAATTTTTAAATGTTTATAAAATGATACTGTGCAACAGTTGTGAAAATTATTAAGGTAATTAATAACAGATAACTTTTTGTGATAATTGAAATAATTATAATTTCATAAATGCTTAATAAATAACTGAAAAAGTTATAAAAAAGGTATATTTTAGATCAATAAATTATATTTTTCATTTAAATTTTACTATTCCAAAAAACTTAAAATCTATTTAACACATGCAACAGAGCGATCAACACATGCAACAGAGCAATCAACACATGCAACAGAGCAATCAATGCATGCAACAGAGAGGTCAACACATGCAACAAGACAGTTAACTGATGCAATAAAATGTGCAAATAAAACTTTAGATTAGCAAACCTACCAGTTAGTCTGGCTTTAGACAACTTTGAATATATATCAAGCTTTTCCTTGAAAGTGGTAGATTTCACTTCTGTCCATTCATCAGGTTTCAGGTTTTTTGGTTCTTTATCATCTTTTTTCTGGAAATCTGTAATAACAGCTAAAGGCTAAAATAAACATTAAATTAAATATATTTGGGCATTGTACACACACACAAACACACACACACAAACACACACACACAAACACATACACACAAACACACACACACAAACACGCACACACAAACACACACACAAACATACATACTATTAATGTCTGTACATTATTTAATTTATTAATATATCACATATTTTTCAATTTCATGTATTTATTTTCACATAATAAAAAAATGAAACAAAGAAGTAAAATATTAAAAAAAAGTGCACAATAGATAACATAAAAAAATCATTTTAAATGAAAAAAACAATTAAATAATAGTATACTTCTACCCCCATCATTTAACTTGACATAAATTATTTAACACTATTATTTAACTATGAATAGATACTTTATTTTATTTTTCTTTTATTTTTCATTATTTTATTGCACTACTAAAATAAAGTTTCAAAAAACAGATTCCCACATAAATTTGCATGAGGTAAAATAACATACTTTAACTGTTTTTAAAAGAATTCAAAAAAACAAAATCTAAAATCTAAAGTTCTTAAACTATAAAACATAAATTCAACTTAAAATATCAATAAATACTGATTTGAATAATGTGTAGTCTTTTTCACCTCAATGAAAATCATTAACAGAAAATTTGAAAATAGTAAATCTATACTATCATCATTATTATTACAATTATATAAACATTAACATTTTCAAGCTTATGTATATAAACATCATACTATGTATATAAACATTATCTATTATTTTTCTACATTATATACTTTTTTTTTTCCTACATCTATATATTTATATTACTAAGGTTATTATTAGGACTAAAACTAAGAATTAGGACTAGGACTTAGGACTACAATAGAAACTTTAGAATTAGAAACTACAATATTTATTAGGTCTGAATTAGCTTTAGGTTACTTTTTTTGTATTTTGAAATGAAAAATAAAAATTATTTTTAAAAAAAACCAACAAAAACAACAAAATAACTGTATCCAAACTTCTTGTAAACCCTCCTCTGTTCAACAGAGTTTAATGGAAAATCCCTATGCATACTTCTTGTAAAACCTACCTCAGGTTAACTCAAAGTCAATTCATTAAAAAAAAAACTACATCTAAACTATACTTAACAGTAAATCTATACTATCATCATTATTATTACAATAAATATATCATAAAATAAGCTCAACTTTTTCAGCAACAAATTTTTTTTGCTTTAACATTTAAAACCATAGTACTTTTAAAAAACCATATATTTTGTAAAATATCTTTTTTTAAATACATTTAAATGACTAACAAAACTTAGTAAAATTAAAAAATCTTATAGTACCAATTAAAAATTATGCAAACCTTTAGTTGTGCTGACTTTTGTCCATATCTTCCAAACACATTGATACCTCTAGTATTCTTTAGATAGTCAAGAAGGAAAAATGGTCGTTTTGTATGCAACAATAAAACTATTTAAAAAAGAAATTTTACTTTGCAACATCAATATTTATTGAGTTTAGAGTTAGCTTTTATGTTATTAAATAAAATATATCACACACACACACACACACACACACACACACACACAAAATTTCAAATTCTTTTAAAATTGAAGGAAAAATTGGCAGTACAAGCTTAAGTTAAATTTTTTTTACTAATTTATTACTGCTCTGTTTTATTAAGAACATTGAGCACTATGTTTGTAAAATACACTAATATATTTGACATATTTATTAAAACAAATTATAATCTGTAAATATTTTTTGTTTAAATTAACAATAAAAAAATAAACAATTTTTTTTACCATGATTTAAAAAGGATGATAACATGATATGTTAAGAGCCATCCAAATTATTTTTGATTAAGTATTTATTGCTAAAAAAAAAATAGTTTAAGAAAATAATAATAAAAAATAAAGATAACATTAATAAGAATCAAACTATTAGTAAAAAAGTTTTCTGAAATAAAGTTCAACATAAAGAAATAAAAAAAGTCTACAAAATCTTTAAGCAATTAATTCAGTGTTATGGGAGACCATTTATGTTCAAGAAGTAATTAGATAGAACTCTTAAAGTACTTAGACAGAACTCTTATTTAGAAGTTATTAGACAGAACTCTTACTTAGAAGTAATTAGATAAAACTTCTACTTAAAAGAAATTAGAAAGAACTCTTACTTAGAAGTAATTAGACAGAACTCTTACTTAGAAGTAATTAGACAGAACTCTTACTAAGAAGTAATTAGATAGAACTCTTACTTAAAAGTACTTAGATAAAACCCTCTTGGGTCTTGTTCAGTCTTGGCTTCAACGAGTTATTTAAAAGACATAACTAATAATTACTTAAACATTAATAACTAAAACAAGTACAATTTTTGATCTAACAAGTGTCTATTGTAATACTGGGATGTATCACAATAGATAGCTTACTATATCTTAGGATGCTAGGTTAGACCCCTACCATATCCTAGGATGCAATAGATTTAACAAAATTCCCAACTTGTTGTTCTAAATAAATCATGATTAAAACTCTACATAGAACAAAGATCACTAACCCCTTTTCCCACAAGTTTCAAATCTTCTATGCTAGTTGTTTGAAAATTATATATTTATAATATATGTATGCTATATGTTTTAACAGTATATATTTATAATGATATTGATGATAATCATGTATGAATCATAGAACTCTTACTTAAATTTTTTTACAACTATGCTAGTTGTTTAAAAATTATATATTTATAATATATGTATGATAGATGTTTTAAAAGTATATATTTATAATGATATTGATGATAATCATATAATAAATCCATTTATTGAATAGAAATTATTTTTAATAATAATGTTTAAAAAAATTGTAAAAAATTAATATGACAGAGACACTTTCTATTTTCCTCCAATATGAAGATAAAGAAACATTTATGATGGACACAAAAATAAGAAAACCATTTATCATCCATAAAGAATATTTATTACAGGAGAAAAAAAAAAACATAAAGTTTTCAAATAAACTCAATTAAAAAATAAACTATACAATACAAATAATGGTTCATATAGTTATTAGCATTTTTACATAATCAGGTATTTGTTGTACTCAAAAAAAAAAAAAAAAAAAAAGTTTAATAAAGTTAATCCAACAAAAATATTGCTCTTAGAAAAAAAATCAATGCTGATTTTTTTTCCTCATCATTCTTCTTTCTTCTTTCTTCTTTTTTTCCTTTTTCTCTTTATTGGATTTGTAATATTATTGCGCTTGATGTTATTACATAACAGACATGTTGAAACAATTCTTCGGTTAGCTGTAATTACAAAAAATAAAATTGATAAAATAGACTTCAATACTTTAATTATTATTCAACATAAATTTTTTCTAGACATGCTAAAAACCTATAGTCTGAAATTTTTTAAAATTAGATACAAGTAGAAATGAGAGTGGCCTAAATTCTTTAAAATTAGATACAAGTAGAAATGATTGCAACCTAAATTTTTTTAAATTAGATATGATTAGGAATGACACTGGCCTTAGTTTTTTTAAATTAGATACAAGTATGAATGACAACAGCAAAATTTGTAAAAATCTTTTTTCCAGCCTTTTCTCAAAACTTAAGGTCATTTTGATAAATCAATAACTTTTTAAACAGCTTACTTCAGTTTACTTTTATTCATAAAATATACTTTATATGGAATAAAATGTTGCTAATGATCCTTATATTTATACTTATATTTATAGTTTGATCTTAAAACTTATATTTATTTATTATAATTATTATATTTATAAATCTGTCATTAATTAAACATCAGTTTTATGATCACTAAAAAAGCAATAAAAAATTATGATCTTTGAAAAAAAAAAGAACAAACCTTTTATTCGGACACGAGTAGTGATACCCGGCACAAGTAACATATGACAACCACGACAATATGCGTGTTTCACATCTTGAGACCTTTAAGAAATTAAAAAACACATAAATGTTGTTCAGTTTATAATTACATATAGTTATAATTATAAGTTTAATCATATAATTTAATTTTATTATATCTAATTTATAATCATATTAATACTTTACTATTCTAAGAAATCATATAATTTATAGAATCATTCTATCATAAATGTCATAAATTAAAGATAAGAATGCCATTAAATAACACCAAGAACACTTAATCGAAAAATTTTAAAATTTAAAACTCCATTATTGTTTAGATTTGCAGCTAATTTAAACCTGTTTTTTTTTAGGTCTTGACAATTTAATTTGAAAGTGAGTTTTTGTTTATAAAATAAAAATTATTGTTGACATTCACTATATAATTATAACTATGAAATTTTGCTTATAAAATAAAGTTAGACATCTATTTTATGCTTCAACAATTAAAAAAATAATTGTTGTAAAATATTTTGCAATAGCAAACCAATATGGTGCAATACTGCAAAAATATATAATAAGCAAGGAAGAAGTAAAGCAACAAAAATTGAAATATTAGACAAGCAGCTCATCCAAAGTTTTCAGAACGTTTCCATTTTTGTTTCTGCTTAATCACTTTTTCCTTGCTTAAAAAAAAAAATACAAAATTTATGTAAAAAATCTGGTAAATAGCTGGAATATAGCTGAATACTCAGAACATTATTGTAACAATAAAATAACAATTTATACAACAAATAATGTTGTTATTGATAAGCAATAGAATTTAAACACAATAGAAAAATAATTATATGATGATTATTTATTATATTCAAAAAAAAAAATTCTCAAAAAAAAACTTAAAAAAATTACATATATAAAACTTAATATATTCAATTAAAAAATAAAATAAACCAAAATTATATATCAATAACATATCAAAACATATTTTGCCATAACAAATAGGATATATATATATATATATATATATATATATATATATATATATATATATATATATATATATATATATATATATATATATATATATATATATATATATATATATATATACAATATTGCCCAAAAATTCAAGGTAGGCTACTTTTAAGAAAAAATATTTTTTTAAAGAATATTATGTTGGGTCTCAAATTAAGTGAAATTACATGAAAATTTTAAAAGTGATAATTATTAATAATGCAAAACTCACACACCTTAATCTTTTTATACAAATTATTTCACCTTTTTTATATACCATGCTAATATAATAAAATCTTTATAATAAATTACAAAAAACTACCCATCACACAAAGTCAGATGCAGTGCACATATAATTTATTAAATAATTATAGACTATGTACCACTGTTTATAAATAACAATGCTAACTGTTTATAAAACAAATAACTAAACTGACAAAATTTGTTTATTTTTACAAATTTGGAAAAATCTATATTTTTGTTAAATATCTGTTCCTGTTTGTGTGCATATCCTAGAACATTATATGGGATAACTGATACTATATAATATATAACAGTTAACATAGTTTTATTTATTCAAATACTAATATTTTAAATTGCCACTAGTAACTTTGTGGATATGCATTTTATATGTTTTGCTAGCAACTATCACTTGTACTAATCTGAATAACTAGTAATAACTCTAATGACACAAGGTACAGGCTTGGTCGGGAAGCGGGTGCGATCGCACTCGATAATTGACCAAGGAAATATTATTTAGTTGCGAAAAACTAGCCAGATTTTTTAATCATTTTGAGAACATTTCAAAAACAAACAAAAAAGCGCATTAAGATTAACTGGACCGATGAGAGACGAAAAAATTTTAAGCAAAATAAATTTATTAGAGCAATTATTTTTGAAACGTCGCTCTTTTATAACTACTTTTATAAAATTAAGCAACATTTTTTATATAAAGTAACAACTATAAAGAAAAAAATGTTCTTCGATTTATCAAAGAGTATATATAATTTTTATTTATATACTTATGTCTTATTTCCAGTGCTGGATTGAGGAGGTGGGGTGGGGGTAGTAGGGCTATAGCCCCGGGACTCACAATGTTGAGGGAAATAGTTAAGAGGACCATTCGGTATTTTTTTTAGTCATTTTTACGCTGTGGCACATAAAATAGATCGCCAAATTAATGCAGCCTCCGGCCCTGAAAAGTCCAACAAGATTCAACCAGATGATTTATTTATAAATAAAAACGTTTTTTCAATAACTGTTTTATGCTTCGCGTAGTTTAAAAAGTTCAACACATTTGAAACAATTCTTCTTAGTAAGATAAACAAATGAAAAAGTTATATTATTGGGTTACTGTAGAAATTCAATTAGCTAGATAGAAATTAAAAAATAACATTAAATTACTTTGTGAGGAGGAAGCGGAAATGCTTCAAATACCGCTGGTGATGTTTAGTGAGTGGGCTTTATAATTTTAATTAGTATTTAAAACAGAAAAAGTAACTTTAAGTATAACAAGTTTGTAAGAATGGCTTAAGCAAAAATAATTGAAGTTAGTAAACCAATTTCTAAGAACTTAATAACTTTTCTTTCTTGGGAGAAAGAACCAGTTATCGGGTACACTGAGGAAAATGGATTAGTGGTTAAAATTTTCTGTATTAATTTTGACGATTATTAATAATTTCATTGAAAACGCAGTTATTATTGAAAGTATTTTAGTTTACAAAATCAATCGCACAAATTGCTTTAAAAGATTACTTTTGAATAAAATACACATACATGAAATTATATAAATAAAAATACATTACATACATAAAAATACATTACATACATAAAAATACATCCCTTATATATAAAAAATAAGAATATACTGATAAAGTCTATAATATATTTACAAAATGTTGACAAGTTAAATAATATAAATTTAAAACATTTATCATTGTAACCAAATAATGTTAGTTTAAAACATTTATAGCTTTGTAGATGTGGCTCTAAGAATTAAAATAATAGTTCTTTTGATAGTATATTCTTAAAATAATTTATGCTAGAAATCTCAACAAAAATTCAAAAAATACAATTTTTTAAAATATTTCAACAGAATACTTAGGACATTCGGTTAGTATTTTTTGAATACTCTAGAAATTTCGGTTAGTATTTTTTGAACCAATAGTATTTTTTGAACCAATAGAATTTGTTGTCCGTAGATTTGGTGGGTTTTTTGTGTTCGCGAATATTCTTTTTTTATTTTTCTGCACTAAGATGTTTGAGAACATTCAAGTTTATGTATGTTTCCATGTGTATCCGTAAAACAAAATGTTTTGAAATTTACGATAAAATGAACTTATTATTTTGCGGATAAACAAGGAAAACTACATAAATTTAAATGTTCTCAAAACAACTAAATAATATGGCCGGTTTTTCACAACTAAATATTATTTCTGTGGTCAGTTATCGAGTGTGATCACACCCGGTTCCTGACCAAGCCTGAAGGTATATCTATATTAGTGTGTCCAAAAAAATAACATTTTTGAAAAATATATGCTGGCATCCCCTAATGTGTTTAATATGATAAAAAAATACTGGTTTTTAAAAATTATTAAATAAAAAGTTATTTTAGAGGTCCATTAAGATCCTTCCAACATATAATGAGTCCCTCAAAATATTAAAAAAATTTTTTTTTTCAAAAGTGTACTTTGCTGGGTCTAAAATTATATTATATAAAAATAAATTTAACAGCATAAAAATTGAAGTTTATTAAAAGAAATTAAAAAAAATTAAAAAAGTTAAAAATTAAAAAAATTAAAAAAGTTTATTAAAAGAAAAACATGAATTTTTACCAACTTTTTGACAATATTTTTTTTTCAATAAGTTTTTTATAATTATCATTTTTGAATTTTTCATATAATTTTGGTACATTTGAGACTTAATATGATGCCCTTTAGAAGAACTTTTTTTTTGACAACATTAGAAACTCATTTAATGTTCAAGGGTTTTGGGGGTCCCCTAATAATATTGTTCATTTAAAAACTTTTTAAATCCAATGTTTTTTTATCACATTTTTATCAATTATAACACAAACCATATAAAAACATCCACCTCCAATACATTTTATACATCCCAATAAGTAAGTTACCAGGGTTGTTATTGATTAGATAAATATAGCCAGATTAGATAAATATAGCCAGGGCCGGGTTTGTGACCAGGGATGCAGAAATATTTACATCCTAAAGTATATCTTTATTATTCAAAACTCATGTTACCACTCTACATGCTGATACTTAAATCACTTTAATCATTTTTAACAAATGTTGTTCGATACAATGTTTTTATAATCTGTCTAAGATTATGTCTTCTTTTCTTGTCTTGCTCACACTGGTGTGGTCACACATCCATCTGATCATCCTCTCTTTCAGTAAATACTACACCATATAAATACTAAAGTATATACAGTAATGAAAGGATATTGTATGCCAGCATCTAAATAAATAGCAAACATATATGTTTATATCCATAATATGTATGCATAAAACGCATCTTGGAAGCTTTTATTCCTTCTGGAATAAAAGTTTGTATTACTTCTCTTCAATTTTAAGTAAAAACTCATTCTACTCCTTATTTTTCAACATCTTTAGCAGTTGCTTTATTAAACATTAATCATTTTTTACAACTTTTTTACAAGAACATCTCTCTTAAGAACAAATATTCTTTTATTATTGCAAAAAGCTAATAAAAGTCCTGTCTGATGTTAAACTCTCAGTTTACTAAATTTTATATCTTATCTCAGATTTTAGGTTCTAGCGACTTTTGGTTAGTCTTCAACAGCTTCATTAACTAAAGTAAGTCTAACTTTTAATCTCTAATTCATGGGTCTGATCATTTTACTTCTAACCAGAATTAAGCAGAGTTATTTGCAAAGAAATCTTACTCTAATTTGACTCTTGAATATAATGGTCATACTTTTCTTGAAAGTTAAACAGATCATCCCATTGTTAAGCTTCAAAATCACTCTGGCTTCCAATGCTAAAGTTAATTCTCAATTAAACACTACAGTTTGTGCTCCAGACAAGAGCTCC